GGTATAGATTTAAATTCTCTTTTTTCTTCTGTAGGGTCTATAATTTGCCAACATCACCACTGGTACAGTCTCAGACATGAAAGTGTTTGCATCTATCAGCTATGAAGTCAGTACTACAAGCACAAAATTTTAAGATCATTTCTATTATTTTTTTTTCGTTCTCTAGAATATAATTTCAAAATCCTCTATCTTGGTAAGGGGCAATTTAGGACCCATGTTTATTTTTTTCATGCTGTTTTTTGATCTACTTTATGCTGTAGCAATAATGATATGTTTTGCTGAAACTACCACTATACGCACTTTGTAAGGGGTGAAGTAAACATGACCACTGACTTTAATTATTATAATTTTTAACATACATCTCTGATTTTTTTTAACAATCCGCCCCGATGTTCAGCTCTAAACTGTCATTCGTAAGCAAGCGCAAATAATTTTTCATACAACTATCACCGAACCATCTGCCCATATAGCGATATAAAATCGATCAAACATCACGATATAAATATCGACTATCGACTTTTGTACAGTATCGATGGCTCGTAGCCATCTTCTAATTCCAGCTGTAGCGATCATCTGACCAACGCTAGTGATCCGATTGGTTGGTTCTTAAGAAGTGACCTTGAAATAAGAAAACGACCATAACCTCAATATATTTAGTCATTTATGCAAAAATGAACTGATGTGGATACTTACTGCAGCGTCATCATTAGGCGCTCCTCTGGCGATGTCCGATTGCGTTCGGGTGCCTTCTGCAGGTACCTCTTCAACAAGGTCAGGAGTTGATACCAGCGCGGCTTTTCGTTTTTCTACCGCAAATTCGTCAACAACTCAAACAAAAACAATAGATGAGTCACCGCCTGGCTTTCTCGGTAAATCGTCGTGGAACACAGACTTATTATATTTACGTCAATACGAGCATAGAACTGTACGGAAAGGGCTATCCAAGGGTAAGATGAGTTCCGAAATCACCCGAATCATGTCAAAAAATGTGTGTGACGTCACCAAAACGATCGACCACCACTAGAAATCAGTAGCTAGTTACCCTCTGGCATGTGGAGGACACTGGTGTAGAAACAGCTGATCCTTAATTCGGTTACGTTAAGTCGTGCATGAACCCGACATTAGTTTTCACATCGAAAGAAATTTCTGGACCACGCGGCATGGTCTTAAAATGACTCAACTTATTCCACAATACTTGGTGAACACAAACTAATCCTCTTCCGACACGACACTGTACTAAACTAATGTTGAAAAGAATTTGTCTACATATTTTTATCCCTCATAAAAAAGTGCTTATATTCAGACTTGTATTGTGTTCATTGCAGATAATGTAAAAACAAGGAATTTAGTTTTTCTATTAATAACGTTTATGGAGCAATGAAGTATGAATTCGTTTTCTAAAGGTATTTAGGTAAATATTCATATTTGTCTATATACTTTTGTCCATTACTATATATATATTATTTCAAGTACAGAAAACGGTAATGAACAAATAGCACAGTCTCTCTAATTTTGTCCGATACAGAAACTGTATTTTATCCCAAAAACTACCTTATCGAACTTTATGCCAATGAACAGTTTTAATCGTTTTTATTGCCCCCCAGTTATCAATTTTTTTAACGGTAAATACTATATTTTAGAGTAAAAGTGACGATAGAAAATTTCAAGATGGCGGCTGGATTTCATGTACTTTTACGAGTACTTAATAAATAAAATGAAAAAGTTACATTTTTAAAAATGAGCTTTCATTTAACTGTTCATGGAATGAACCAAAAGTTTAAAAATGTTTTTATCTGGATGGAAATTTTTAGACGATAATAAAGCTCCTTCATCTTAAGTTTTCAAATAAAAGTGTATTACACCCTTTTCCTGTCCTACTGTCAAAACGTTCACGCTTTTATGAACAGCTAAATAAAAATGTTATTTTTTTTCTTTCTTTTTTACTTGTTAGTATTCATGATGCCAAATAACTAGTTTGCTAATTTTATATAGCCTTCATATGTTCTGTTAATGGACTCCATAAAACTTAAGAATGGTTGTTATATTTCTCTTTAACTTGATACCTGCTTATTGCGCTTCTCTCATCAACCCCTTTTATTCAATATCCATAACATTGGGGTGACTATGGCAAATGTAAATCGCCATTTTGCGGAGGCCGCCATATAGGATTTAGAATGACGTCACTTCGCTTATTGTGCTTCTCCGAAGCCGTTTTTTGATACACATATTATAGGGGTTACTATGGAAATGATTAATCGCCATTTTGTAGCATCCGCCATATTGGATTCAGAATGTAAAAAATTTCACCTCAGTTGGTCAAGGTTAACTGGTTTGAAATTTAGATCCAATATTTACTCTACACATATTAACATACCAACAGGTCAAGATAAATGAAACCTCGCAATAAAAACCTAGAATGTGAAGTTTACCGTATTTTAAAATGGCAGCCAGGCGTGTTCAAGATTTTGCATAAATGGCTAGCTTATAACTCAATAACTAATTATCAAAACGTTATAGTAAAGGATTTTCCATATTAGGACTTGACAACTTTCTGTTTAAATAAAACGCAAACCTTCCGAGATATCTCGAAAATTTTATTATTGGATTGAAGTACACTCAAAACATTTATCTACCTCGTTCATATGTCCACCACGGGCACGTTCGCAGCGATCGACTCGTTGAACCCAAAATGACTCGGCCACACATTTCGGCAGAAATGGCAGCTGTCTCTCGTTCATTATGTAGCCCCACAAAAAAAAGTCTGGAGGTGTTAAATCACACGATCTAGGCGGCCATTCGCCAGGACCATTTCTCGATATAACACGTTCACCGTTTTTTTTTATTTATCCGCTTCGACCTAAAGGCCATTAGCTGTAGGGCTTAGATGCTATACTTTATATAATACACGCAAAGTTGGGGTTTTCCTTTTCAGAAACAACTACCCTTGAAATAGCAAAAGTAATGTGTAGTGAAACGAGGGCGACCAAGTAAAAAAAAAATAAAGGAAGAAGTACTCACTCTCCAGTTGACGAGAAGGGCTAAGTACGTCTCTGTCCGAAATCATACCGCTTCAACAGAAAATGAAATCAGCTGAAGCGCTACCGAGCAGACGAAGAAACCACATTGATTGTCTTACACTTAGTGGCACACCTTCTAACAAGGAAGGCAAAATGTTGCGTAAAAAGTCTAGGTATTGCATCCCGTCCAATCGATTTGGGAGAATAAATGGTCCAATGAGCATACCGTTCACCATGCCAGCCCAAACATTCACCGAAAATGTGCCCGACGGACAGCGTGCGGATTTTCTACTGACCAAACATGAGTGTTGCGAAAGTTATTCACCCCATTACGCGTGAACGTAGATTCGTCTGTCACCAATATGCACTTCAAAAAGTCCGGATTATTGTCATGTTGATGCAACAACCACTCACAAAATCGCACTCTTGCTGGAAAATCGTCAGGTTGAAGGGCTTGTACACGTTGAACGTGAAACGGATACAGCCCCTCTTCACGCAGCGTTTGCTACACTTTAGTTTTTGATACTTGCACTTCTCTAGTGCTTGTTGAGGGATTCTCGTCCACGCGATTACCTCTACACGCGTGACCGTAACCGTCGGTTGAAGGTTGCATACTGACCTGACACACTGACCCCGACCCAGTTCTGTCGTCGGGTTGAGCCAGTGACCTTGTACCACTCGGTGATGTCGCGGCTACAGGACGGTATTCAGATATTTTTGATGTTGCAGAGCCCTTTATCTCGGTTCCCTTAAGACATTGGTGTATATGGTACTAAGAAAAATTGCTTATGTTTTCAAGATCTACACGTCGTGTAAAGGAAAACCCCAACTTTGCGGACACCCTGTATATTAGTTTGCTGTAGGAAACTTAATGGGCTGCAATTTGGTGCTAAAATATCACACATGGTCGATGACGTGAGGTTACATTCCACTCTATGGTGTTCTAATGAAGGGCACTGCACTAATATGTGTTTGACACTGAGAGGAGTTTCACTCATGGGTTTTGGTTCCTGCGTGATGAGATATCCATGGGTGTGTATTGTCCATGGTCCAAATCTAGGGTTCATGACATTGTGACACAGCATTTGAACATGCGCAAGGTGTGCGCGAAGATGGTCCCAAAAGTGCTCACTGACGACCAGAAATTGCGGCGAGTGGAAGTGTGCCAAGAAAATTTGAACATGTGTGAAAGTGACCCCCAATTTTTGAATAACGTAATCACAGGTGACGAGTCGTGGATCTTTGAGTATGATCCCGAGACAAAGAGGCAATCTTCCGAGTGGCACACGACGGCGTCTCCTCGCCCAAAAAAGGGAAGAATGATCAAATCCAAAGTGAAAACGATGCTCATTGTCTTTTTTGACATCAAAGGCATCGTCCTCCTGGACAAACCGTCAACGCCAAGTTTTACGTGGAAGTGCTCAGGAGACTCAAACGAAGGGTCAGTCGACTCAGTCCTATTACTTTCCGGACAAACCCTGTAGACTCAGATTTTTTACTAGGCTATGAATTGCTTGTCTACTGGGACGAGAAATACGACCAAAAATTGGCGTTAATGCTCTTAAAGGTACAGTCACCGACTCGGAATTTCGGTAGTAAATTTTAATTATTTGTAAGCGTTGTTCTTTCCTGTACTTCACCATGATGAAAATGTTTTCTTTACTGAATGTGTTGACATTAACAGTTCGACAATTGAGTTAAAGGTGCGTTCACAGTGAAAGTTCAAAGTTGTCAAGTCCCTATTGGAAAACCCGATATATCATACTAATATTTTTTTGAAAGCTCCTGTCCTTATAAGCATTAAACTATGGAAATTCCTCTAAACTACTTGTCATTATTTGACATTTTTTAATGAAAGGTCCTGTCTGCTTTTGCAAATTCGGATAGACTCCAGATGATATCCATATAACATTCGTTTTAACGATTAACTGATTAATTAGAAGAGAGTTTCTGTTTCCTATTTAACTCGCCTTTTTTTTTCAGTGTGGCGCGCAGAACTTCAAGCGGCGTGACAACTGCTTTAAGTGTCATGCTTCAAGAACTGAAAGTGAAGAAGGTGGAAGCGGTAGCGATGAAGTCTGCACTTATCCCACCAAAAGTAAGAATTTTCATTTATTTTCTAAGAAAAAGTCCAGTCATCCTATCAAAACGCATCATATGTTTCGTAATTCTATTGTACTTTTAGCAAACCTTAAAAATTTAATCGTTTTCCACTAAGATATGTACCTACAAAGTGTCGGGACTGCAATGGAATTTTCTTTTTTTTTTCTGAACGACGCTGTGTAATCCAAAGATATTTTCACAGCATAGTTTTGGAACTTACATAATTAATATCCATATAAAACAACAGATTTGGTAATCGAAATTAGCCAATTGATATCCATAGATTCCGATTCCTGTGTCAAAATGTTTATTAAAATATAAAGTGACGTTTAAAAATAAAATCAAACCGATTTCTGGTGGTTTCTTCACTAGGAATTTGTCACATTATTTTTCGGTGTTCTATATCGTCGGTATCCGCACGTAGCGGCGTAACTAACATTTTACAAGTTTTACAGGAGATCTAGAAAACGAAAATCAACAATAAATTAGATTGAAAATTACCTACTGATTTTTTAGTCTGCACTTTGCAGTTTTTTTATTAGACTAAAATTATGTAGAACTTTGTTTTGGGATGCTTTAATTTTTAAAAGTAAAATGAAATTTAAAAAAAAATTCTTGCATTCATTTTTGCTCAATGATAGTAATAGTTTTGCCTGACTTTTTTGATTTGTGGTCCAAATATAATTGCGGATGATTTTAAGGGGTTAATTTTGAGATTATGGGCAGAAGATACGTTAGATAAATTCATTAAATCATTATTAATCAAATGTTTGGCATTTTTTAAATCTTTAATATCAAAGCCAAAGTACAATTGAGTGTCGTCAGCATAGTGATGAATACTGCAGTGTTCAACATACTCGAGGAAGTCCTGCAGATGGCCAGGATATTATGATATGAGAGGCTCACCACAGTGAGACTTTTACAATTTCTAGCCATTATGCTGCGAAATTTGGATGCCCTAACAACAGAGGACTCAGTGATGGCTGCGTTAAACACCGCAATACCAGAGTGGGTTAAATCCATATCGGCCGTCTGTGTAGGAAGAGATCCTCTAACGTCAACCTCAAGAGGTTTATGCTATATCGGTACTGAGTGCACCATTGATGCACTGGGGATATTTGGGGCGTTGAGCAGCCTGAAATCAGCATTGGCTATCGATGGCAAAACTGGTAAGTGAAACACATCTATTGAAGTGGTATTTTTCTTCCTAATCTAATTCCCGTCTAATCATACTAGCAAATTTCCACGAAATAATTGCAAAGTCTGGTTTTATTGATATATATTGTTCAAGGGGGTATTTAAAACATGGACGCATAAAATGGCTATACCAATTTTTGTGGGAATACTTTTTATTTGACAGCAAAGAATGAGAAAACGTATTTTTTGGGATGCAATCGAAAGTGTTGACAGGAACGAAGGAACTTTTCATATAAGATTTTTAGGTATTGATGAGTGTGGTGAAGTGAGTGGTCTACGAAATGAGACCACACGTGAAAAGATCCGACTAATAGCAAAAAATGAGGGAAAATGCGGGTTTTGGCACTGACGATAATTTTGCGCAACTACTTGAAATTTTTCAAAACCGTAGGATTCACACTTCTTAATAACAATAAAATTGGAGTATGTAGGTCAAGTAGTTTTTTGAGAATTTCTAATTGTTCATCTCAAAACGCCTGTCTTCCGGCCATCACTACTAGTTTATTGAGCAATATAGAGGGTTCGTACGAAGAGCATTTAATAGCAAAATACACGTTTACCTTGCCGATATGAATCACAAACCATTCCGAAAGGTAACTGTTATGTTATGTTCAAAGTTGAAAATCAGTTGTACAAATAAAGCTCAAGGCTTGAACCCAGTTCAAGTAGGCATAGAACCTGACCGGTCGATGTCCCTCGATTAAACTCAGTTCAATGTGAGTAACATAAATATCGTAGCAAAGTTTAGCGAAGTTGTGTGTTAAGTTTAAAAATGGACATTCCCGAAGAGATAACTGATGACGAGGACGAGGAATTAATTACATTCGTACATATACCCAGGTTACCCAAAACTTACAAACAGAGACCTGATAATTTTCGGATTTGGAACGTCACTCAATTCTTGCAACGTTTTCGGTCATCAAAAAGTACTGTTAGATCCATAATAAATAAAGTTGCAGATGATATCAGAAATATAACAATACAGTTCATTTATAATTACTACTATCAGAGCCATTCCTGACGGGTGCATATTGTGCTCCAAATTGAAGAATAAATATCATTACCTATTTCAAATTTTATATAATATATATATATATATTTAAACATAATTTTTTTATAAATTTATACAAACACCAACTTATGGGAATGCTGTGTTGCATCTAAATTGAAAAATCGTTCTTTCATTGTCGGTGAATTTGAAAACACCATCTGAGCTGCTCAAAGGCTACTCACTCTACATGAATGGCCCTGGGTTGATATAATGCGGGTGGGATTTGGACAAATGTGTATAAAAGCTATTTTTTTAAAGTAATAGGGGATGTACAAGGTATGGACAAAGGAACTGCAAGCAGGGTTGTGTCGAAAGTTATAAAATCATTAGCAGTCCATTTTAAAGAATTAATGAAAATGGCGAAGAGAGAACTGTGATACGTCAAGAATTTTTCAATATTGCTAGATTTCCTAGGTGCATAGGAGCTTTAGACTGCACCCACATTAAAATAAAATCTCCAGGTGGTGCTGCAGACCCAGAGAATTATAGGAACAGGAAAGGTTTCTTTTCCTATAATGTACAGGTGATTTGCGATGCCACTTTGAAAATACAAAATATAGTTTGCCGTTGGCCAGGTGCATCACATGATGCAAATATATTTGCAAATAGTAGAGTTCAAGCCTTATTTGAAACCGGACATTTTGGCGACAGTTTGTTGGTTGCAGATAGTGGTTATGGTATTAATCACACCACTAAGCCGACCTGAAACTCAGAGTCAACACTTATTTAATGAATCTCAAATTCGCACTAGGAATCCTGTCGAGAGATGCTTCGGGGTATGGAAAAGACGTTGCCCCATCTTAGCATTAGGAATTCGTGTAGCGAAAGAAAAAATTGAGCCAGTAGTTGTTGCAACAGCAGCCTTGCAGCAGTTGAATTCATTAACAACTTTGATATTGTACCAGTCCCAGTTGGAGGTCAAGATGCATCTAATAATAGGACACGATTATTGTTAATTAATTATTTCCAGGATTTATTGTGAATTATTCAAAAAGTTTTTAGTATTTTTCTAATGTTATCTTTGTTTCATACTAAGTGAAAGTGAAAGATATAAATGATGCAATAAAGAATATTGGAGATTTTATGTATTTATTCAAAATAGGTAAATAAGATGGCAAGATTAAGAAAATCAAATTTTATATTTATTTAACAGATACTGTTTTTCCATATTTAACATTTCCATTTTAATGTTATGTCCCTCTTTTTTCTCTTCATACTCTAGTTGGATTATTTCCAGTTTCTTTTTGTTTTCTTTCATCAATAGCTGTTTTTTCATTTCAAATTCATCCAAAAGGCATTTTTCTTTAGAATCTTCCAATGATTTTTTGGATTCGACCCATTTTTCCATTTTTGTGCAAATAGCACCTTTTTTTTTTGAGCAGTCGGTCTTCACTAAAATTAAAATGTTTAAGGACCATCTTATTGTGATCCACATTTACTAGCAACATATAGTATTTCATTACTAATTTCATCATCAACAAGAACAAAAAAATGTACAGCACAACATGCAAAAACTTTCCATTTTAGTACTAGAAGTAACAATTCCTTTTGGAAATTTGTAATGAATACGAAATATTTCTGGAGATTATAATGTAGATTACCTTCTGCAGTTCTCAGAGCACTTGATTTTGGTGTGCGCAAAAGGGATGTACTTAATTTGCTCCAGTCCCTCGTTTGATGTCTACTGGATTCTGGACCTTCTAAATGAGACACTTCTTGATTTTCTTTATCTGGAAAATCATAAATAAATGATAACATCAAAACTATTTATTTTATTAGTAACATACATTCGAAACTTACATTCCTCAATAATTAAATCCCTGCATGTAGCATTCTCAGGTATGTCACAGACAACTAAAAATAAAATTAACTCAAAAATATATTCACTCAACACAATCCAGCTTCCTTACTCATGTCATCATCATACTGTAACGCTTCCTTTCCGCAAAAAGTCCAGAAAAGATGGAATGCAATGAAGATTCCAACTTTTCTGCACAATCACAGAAAGGGGGTTACCATTAGCTTCCGGTAGCTCAGTCGGTGGCATGAAGACATCTACAGGCGTGTAGCTGTGTGTCGACCATGGCATGGCTAGAGGATAGAAGAACAAACAGAACACAAAAATTTAACAGATTTTATTTAACAAAAAAGCATTTTCATTACATTTGAAATTGAAATTTTAAACAACAAAATAAGTTTATCTTTCTTTTCTTATCTTTTGCTGGTCCATTTTGACTGGACTGAAGCGAGGATGGCCAGGTGCTTGAAGTGGAGGTCCCAGTTATGAGGGGTGACCTCACATTTAGTGGCTTCAAAACCAGTTGTAGGCCAATCATTTTGTCCTATTCGGACACACATTCTACAAACCGCTAGCACATGGCGCTATATGAACTCATGCTACAGAGAACAAAATTCTTAGCTCTTGTTAGATCGGCGGCTCAAGTGAAAAGAAAGCGAGGAAGATCGCAGATCAGGAACTCCGCATCAGGCGCGCTCCAAGCGGAAATGTTTCCAAGTAAAAAAGCTAGAGATGGGATTAATGAAATGATAATCGAGAAGTCATTTAATAAATACGATCGGACGGTGAAACCGTTACAATACGCTGAAGGGTGTCCTTCTATTCGGACACCTAAAATGTCTTTGACTTGTCCATCAGTATCGGTGAAATGAACTGTTTTTGAGGCACCTCCTCCTGTAGCAAACAGGGAACACTTCTCCTGTGAGAGCTTCTTCTTTGACCTTTTTTTGATATTGTCGTATTTATTCTTCAATGTTTTACTATCCCTGTAGGTCACCGCTCCACTGTTAGACTCTTTTGCAATCATGTCTTTGCGCTTTTGAATAGTTTGTTACTGCATCCGTTTTACGACATTCAATAACATCTTTATATTTATTCACCAGTCTAATTAAAAGGGATTCTTCTTCCCTGCTAAAGTTACTTGTTCTCTTAGGTGCACTCATTTTTCAAATAAATCCACTACTACGAAGAGAAAGAATAAGCAGCAATTATATTTTTAATAAATATAACATAGGAAAGATAATGAAGCAATTATATACCTACCCGCACTCCTGCAGATGTTGCGATATATTTATAGTCGAGAATAACAAGCTAACTTCAAAAAATCGCAAAAAAATGATTCCAGATTGAACCTATCGCTTCGGCCTATAAGTAAAAGCAAGTGAAAGTAGGGTTATGACTTCTGTCAAAATGACATTATTGACAAGTCTTATCATTCCGTGCTTATGGTATTACCAACTGCTGCATATTTGAGGTGCAGTGGAACCGAGCTTGACTGACAGATGAACAACGCACATGCATTTGAACTACTTCATATTTTAACTGGATCTACAGTTTAACCGAAAGTTGAACAACCGGTCCTTAAAGTAATTTTTCATATTGCAGTGACAATGTCATATTGTAAGTATTACATGGGTGACACGAAGAAACAGTACTCACAAGCGGACCACGAAGCATTTCCAAACGCAGCCGTACCAAGCACTTACCAAATGTCCGATGTCGATAACCTAGCCGAATACTCAGCGCGGAGGTACGCAAAGACTCCTCAAGAGTACTTGAACTATCTCGATTACTATAGGACGTACTTCAGTCAGCAGATCAGCTCTGGCAACTCTATCACCTTGCATCAGGACAACCAAATGGATTCAGCAAATGCTGCGGCTGCGGTCGCCCAGTCTGCCATTCAGCAAGTGAATGCTAACAAGAACTGCTATGAGACACCCGCTGTGCCCTCTGGGACCGATGGGAAGAAATATCGTAAGTTTGATATTTTATCAACATCCATGGAATATTGGGACCTCCTGTCATATACATTAATATTCAGGGTATTTTGATAGTTGGGGCTTTCCTTTTCAGAAACAACTATGCTTGAAATAACGTACGGTAAAACGGTAACGAAAAAGTAAAAGAAAAATAATAAATGTATAAGGTTTGGTGATTCGTTCATAAATAATAATAATAATAATAAATGGGCTTTATTTCGTACCTAAGTAAAAGTACAAAAAAGGCGAAGTGTCGCTAAGATTAGCGTTTTTCAACTTAACCTTAAATGGCTAGTAATGAAAAGCCAGTGACATGCAAACATCGAGACATTCCGCACAGTGTCCTCATTATATCGCCCCTTTAGCCTAGATCGCCAAAACTATACCGAATGCAATTTTTCTCTCAGCAATTCCTGACATCTCCAAGTATTCGTACGACAAGGCCAGCGGTTTTCAATACGATCCATCAACGGGCCTATACTATGACCCCAATTCGTGCTACTACTGGAACAGCATCATCCAGCAGTACCTGTACTGGGACAACGAGAGAATGACATATGTTCTTGCACCTACAACTCGAGGCAATCAAGCTGCATGTTCTAGCAACGAGCAAGAACCTGCTGCTAAGAAACAGAAGTCAGAAAAGCAAGACAAGGTTAAGGTGGCCAAGAAGATCGCAAAGGATATGGAAAGGTAATTATAGACAAAAATCCAGGGTCGTCATAAAATTATGTAATCTTGTGAACAGGGTATTTCCGAAACTGGGGTCAAAAATTCTTGAGATTATTTTAGCCCTATTTGGTTCTCTGACGATTTTCAGAATATCGCAGGATTTTTTATGACCTTTGAAAAACTTTGGATAATCCAACAAAATAATAATGTTTATTTGCAATGTACAGTTAGGTGAAAATAGTAACAAAATACATTTAAATGAGATATGTTACAAAAAAGGGCTTATAATAAAAACGATACAAGTTCAGCCCTTTACCTATTACACATTCATATATATATATATATATATATATATTTATTTCTTTATCTATGAAGTGTTCAATGAAGTCGACGATATTAGTTTTAGGTGGTCTGTAAATACATCCAACAGCATAGCTTACTAGATGCAATTTCAATGAAATCCAAATCGCCTCAGAAATTAAACTTGAATAGGAAGAGACAACCGAAAACTTCAAATTTTTATTAATATACATACCAATCCCTCCTCCTCCACCATTTCTATCTTGACGAATAAAACAGTAATTTTCTAATGTTGGCAGCATAATAAATATACGAGTTTCGATAACAGATTCGTAATCGTTGACTCAAAAAAGGAGCAGTATTAAAACGGTTGATTTTATTTAAGTTAAACATATTTTCTCAGACAAATCGAATCTAGCCTTTTTGTCAGGGGGTTATTTAGTCGAGAGGGAATACCTTGGTGATAATTAAAGTACGTTTTTTACCGCTAGATGGGCCAAGACTCTGAACCAGAAGAAAGAAATGTCCAGTTCCAAGGTGTCAAGTGACATGAACTGCACTATGAGCAGCGCTGCAGCTGACATTGGTTTCTCAGTGTTGGAGAAGAAGTCCATGGCTGCCGCAACAATGCCAGTGTTCAAGCAGGAATATCAAGCTCCACTCGCCCAAGCGACTGCTACTGCTACTGGCCCGCTCGTAGCCGCTTATGGCGGAGAGTCTGATTCATCTGGTAAGCCGAAAAACTTGCATCAAAGGGAGACATTTTTTGGCTCAATTTTTTTCATAACCACGTTTTGGGCGTTACCAACATTTTGCAAAATACCGCTTAGAATTGAATTAAAAATGTATTGGGAACTGAAAATTTTCTGGGCTTAATACAATTTTTTATCTCTTTGTGTGACACCATGTTCTTACAGTATACAATGCTGTTTAAGAAATACTGTATAATCATTCTTGCAATTCTAATATGAGTGATAATTGTTAGTTGGGGGTAGACTTTAATATTTATATTATCTGTTCCTTCACAATTTTAATTTAGGTATATGAAATACTTCATAATGTTAATATTTGTTTCCAAACTTTTGTCCGCTACTGTCTTTTTTATATAGTGAAAAATTTCAATATTCATTGACGGAAAACTGTCTATCAACTGACGTATTTTTTACAGGGGATGATGAAGATGACCTTCTTGATTTCAACACACTTATTTGCAATCTCTGCATGCGTCAACTGGGTAACGCCGAAGCCCTACAGAAGCATGCTAGAAAATCATCCCTACATAAGCAAAACCTAGAAGCTCGTCGCATTCGTAAGGGCGAAGCAGCTGCCGAAAAAATTGTCTACAGAGATAGAGCAAAGGAGAGACGTATGAAGTACGGAGATCCTGATGAGCCACAACCGAGCAAACTGAAGGAGAAATATTTGAAAGCAAGGGAAGCTGATTTGCCTGTTGTAGCTGCTTCTGTGTCTGAGCCTATCGGCGCCGAGAATGTCGGTAACAGGTTGCTACAGAAAATGGGCTGGTCGGAAGGTCAGGGACTCGGCAAACAGAACCAGGGCAGGACTACTATTATTCAGGTATGAATATCCCAAAATGCAGAACTTTTTTGTCCTATTTTTTAATCTTATTTTCACACTTTCTCGAAAAATATCAATGCGAACGAGTTCAAATTTACTCATTTGTTTTTTCTAAAATGCTCATTTTCTTCCGAGAGTCCAGTGTACCCAAAAAATTGTCGAATCATGTCCCAACCACCCTGTATTGATTGTTTTATTTATTTTTACAGGCTGAGCAGCACAGCAGCACCGTTGGATTGGGGAACAAAATGGCTGGATACACTGCTATTGCAGGCGAATCATACAAGGAATGTGTGAAGAAAATGATGTACGCGCGTTATCAAGAGTTAACCGAGAGAGAAAACAGCAACTAATTCAATAAGCTTAAGGGTGGAACCATAAATATATAGGAACCACTCAAGTATTACAAGGCGCCGCGACATAACAAAACATTTTTATTATGATTGTTTAATCTTTATCATGTCTTTATTCTGTTATTGTGAAACAATTCTCAAGCTAATTTGTGTGTCCAAAAAATTGGGGACCTTTATTTTGCTATTCCACTTTTTGGTCTAGTTTCTTGTTATTTATTTTTTTTTTCATTAAAATTAATTTGGGGCCACACTCCACATGTTTTGTGACTGGCACTTTGTGATACTTTGTAAGGGCAATCTATTGTAAGCTCGTAAAATTAATTTCCTTTATTTTTCAGTTATGTATAACACTTATAATAATAAAAATAATAATAATAATGTGTCTTTATTTTTGGATTAAAAGTACAAACAAAAAAAATCAGTTGATGAGGGAGGTGGTTTTTAACACCATTACCCTTCCATGCAAATATTTTTTTTATACTCCAACTACCACGAAGGCCTAACGCCTAAACACCCATGGGGTAATGTGGGGATATTATTCTAAAAGAATAACCCAACAGATTAATAGTAGTTGTAATTATTACAAACAGCAAAAATAAAACTATTTCTTTTCACATGGGATTTGACTCTATTCTGAAAGCTACGGGGGGACATTGCGAGGTTTCACTAATTTGAAGTCGAGATTTGAGGAGAGCGCGTACCTCTCGATGGTATTTTGAAAAATAAAATTCACATGTGCCTACTTTATGAAAAATATGGCAATTTTCTAGCTTAGCTACACCAGCCGTTTTTGATGAAAAATGATTTCAGACCCTAGCTTTTAGGTGTAGATGAGAGAAATGGGACTGAATATGAGCGCAAACGTGATGGTTCTGAAATATTTTACTATACACTGTGTCCACAAAGTTGGTTTTTTTTCTTTTCAGACAACTAACAAAGCTAATGTGTGGTGGAACGTGTTCAGTTGAATTAAAATTCCAAGTACGGCTCTGTTGTAAAATCCGTATTTACATCCTAGTCGTCATACAACTACGCTGGGATAGGACAGGACCGGCTTCGGCATAATCTCTTTGCTATTCGAAAGTGGTGATCACGTCACGGTTTTAAATCACTGATATGAGATATCCCAGATATGCAAAAATAATGATATCGGCTATCTGTACATCGCTCACATATTTAGTCATAGTCGTGATGAAATATCAGTTAAATCTCTGCAACTACAGTGCTGTTATATAGAACAAAAATTAGCCCGAGTAAAAATAATATGGCCACGAAAGACAACTATTGAAATATACTCTAGAAGACTATCCGTAGCGAAATTTTGCACACCGCCTAATAAATGCAAATGAACATTGGAAAACTGCCGCTTTGACGAACTAAATAACTCCGTAGTTACCCAGGGATAGACACGATTTGGCAGTTGACCTTGTCACCTAGATTGCGGCGTTGCCAGCTTATCGGACAATTTTGTTAGAATGTTATAAAAAAAGCAGCTTTGAATAAAATATTGACGGATACCATTGGAGATATATAAAATTTGAGGCGTAGCCACGTTTGTCAAAAAACTAAAAAAAAAACACCCACGTCACAACACTAAAATACCTTTGAGAGACAATCGAGATCCCTATAGTGAACACCACTACTGAAAAGAAGTAGCTAAACCGAATAGAGCTTTGGACGAAGCTCAGAACGCGTAGACAATCCGCTGCGCCGACGGTTGCCGAGAGATTGAAGCATGTGAGTGACTGAGTGCTGTACCTCGCTGCGGCGATACGGCCATGCCCCTTTCCACCTCCTACTCCGCGCATCTGCGCCCAGTCAACGTAAACATCGAGTCGCTTCGTGATACTGGTACAGAGAGATTGAAGCATGTGAGTGACTGAGTGCTGTACCTTGCTGCGGCGATACGGCCATGCCCCTTTCCACCTCCTACTCCGCGCATCTGCGCCCAGTCAACGTAAACATCGAGTCGCTTCGTGATACTGGTACAGCACTCACACGCTTCAGTCTCTCGGCAACCATCGGCGCAACGGATTGTCTACGCGTTCTGAGCTTCGTTCAGACCTCTATTCGGTTTAGCTACTTTTTCTCAGTAGTGGTGTTCACTATAGAGATCTCGATTGTCTCTCAAAGGTATTTTAGTGTTGTGACGTGGGTGTCAAGTGTCTCCAAAGTGGAAATTAGGTCCAACTCTTCTGAGAGATACAGGATACCTGTGCAGCAAACTGGGTGAGCCTTGCATACTCATTTACTTGTGTGTTAGGGTTGACATCCTATGTTTTTTAAATAAATTGCATACACTGAGAGATTAGTCATATACTGGGGTATTTGGTAAAAACTAAAATTTGGCCAAATCGTTTTTATTTTTGTGACCTTATTTTAAGAAATGGCAAAAAACTAAAAGGCATTATTTAGGCACTACATGATGGTATTTTAAAAAAGTACTGCCCTGTATCTAATAGCATCTTTTTCTACGACTTCAACGATGTATCACGTTACATTTTGTTTTTTAGTTATAAACAAACGTGTTTTTTTCTACTTTTTCATTTTATTTAAGTAGGCGTTGGAAACAAATGCTTGTGTGATTACTGAGTTTAACCTAGTCTGATCCTTATCTTGGCCACCCTCTAATACATTGTTATACAAAGAAATTTACAATCAGCAAGGCCTTGATCAAAGAACTATTGTTATAGTCCAATGATAATCTATCATTGACAGTATTTCACATCGTCCTTTGACACTAAGCCCTTGGCACTGTTTACTAAATATGGTGCAAAAAATCAAGCGTTGATTCATTGGCGTTTTCTTACCTAGAAATTCAGCCCCGTGGTTGCTTTCGTGAAGAAATGGCTCATATTTCTATCATTCTAGGAAAATCGTCCGATGAGCTGGCAACGCCGTTATCTATGTGACAAGAATGACAAGGTCAACTTTCAAAACGTATGTGTATCCCGAGGTAACGACGGAGTCATTTAGAATGTCAAAGCGGCAGTTATCCAATCTCATTTGCATATTTTTTTAAGTGTCGTGCAACGATTACGAGATAAATGTAGCTACGGATAGTCTTCTAGAGCATATTTTAATAGTTGTCTTGCGTGGCCATGTTATCTTTACTCGGACCAGCCATTAATTGATAAATGAATAATGAATGGTTTAAGTGTCGGCGATACTACTTAGGTGCTAGAGATGAAAATGTCGGAAACGTATACTTGTCTTCTGTACATTCTACTGGGATAGCACTAGACTGTCAAATGTCTGATTATCAATGTCATAATTTGATAAGAGGATCAACTTATCAAAACAAAAATATTTTCGTCTTGCATTTTTTACGACTGATTTCATATTGTAATTTAAGCCGTCAATTTGAATTTTCTTTCTACCTTGAGGAGACTGGTGTCAGCTCCAAAATGCATTTGAATGCAGATATATCCAGTGCCCTCCAGTTATTGGAAGACATCAAACAGACTGTGGACGAAACTGGGGATCCAAAACTTCAAGTGAATGTTCAACAGGACCTAAACCTCCTCATTTCAGTATTGGAAAATCCCGTTTTCAGAAGTATAGTGACAGTACAAGACTCTCTCAGCGAGTTGAATCAGCAACTAGGTCAACACCCATCTATACTGCCAGTGGATTTTGACATCACTGCCTCTGGGGAGCTAGTATTAAATGTACCCCCAGCTGGAGAATTATATGATCCAGATTATGTTGATGAGTATGCTCCAAGTAGGGATTTTGATGAACAAAGGGTACCATCAGCTCCAGTATCACCTAGTTCCCCCCAAGTCACAGCTTTCGGTATGGCTGATAATAAGATGATGCTTTTGAACAGCCAGAAACTCAATGGAGCCTTGTGTAATGACGTAAGTTCTCATGCTTAACCTTTATTCTATAATCAGGCGATTTGTATTACTAGACATCTGGAATATCTTATATTCTCTAAGATCGATCTTTAAATGCTTCTCATGGAGGTTAGGCTCCCCCTTTTGTTAAGAAATAAGATCATTTAAATTAGTTCAGTTGCTAGTAATCGTCTTGTCTTCTCATAAGGCAAAGATTCTCCCCTATATACAAATCAGGGTTCACCAATCCATTCTCTAGTGAATGTTTCATTTACAGGTGAAAATGAAAATTTTGCTGTACAAAAACTCTATATAAAGTGTATTTAAATTCCATTCACTTAGGCGATAGACAATAAAATGTTTCAGGATGCAAATCATCAATGGGACCACATACATTTAGAATGATGGGTCCATTCAATTGGTTGTTATATGGACCACAGTTAAATCATTTTAATTATTGGTATCCATGTATTGGGGGTATTTGGTAACAAAAAAGGTCAAAAATGTTAGTAGTCTGGCAATGTCTTGTTTTCAAGATAGCAGCAAGAAATATAATTATTATTAAATGTAAAATCTGGTCTCAATTTGGTGCTGTGAATACCTGGTGGTTTCAGGTGACATCATAGGATAGTTGGAAAGGACAAGTAGTCCTAAAAGTACTTTGACCCCTTTTTTCAATTAAATTTCAGACGGTCCGCCTAATGCAAAATAACTCTCTGTATAATGCTGTTGATGAAGATATGATCCACCGTTCGCCATCAATTGGGAGTGATGCTTCAAAAACAGGCTCAGATAATCTGATGAGCAGTGAATGGTCACAAGTGGAAAGCATTGACTTGATAAATGATGGCACTGGACTAGGATTTGGAATATTGGGAATGAGAAATATGGGTGTTGTTGTTAAAACCATCCTACCTGGAGGAGTAGCTGATAGAGATGGAAGGCTCCAAAGTGGTGATCATATTTTGCAGGTAAATTATATACCTTGGTTGAAAAATGAAAAAAGCCTGTTTATTGTATTACTAATTTTTTGTATGTATAATATTTATATTTCTAATTGACACAGCAGAAAATCAGATTTTACTTCAGAAGACCATTTTTCATGCACAGCTTTTAATAACAGCCCCAATGCCAAAAGGAGGTTGTCTACAGATACTTCAATGAGTTGAGTTGCTAAAATGACCATTTTTTAAACAACAGTTGATGAATCCCTGGTGTCTGTCATGCTGATATTTTCTTGTATTGTTTTATTTAGTAAAAGAAAACAATGATTAAATCGCGTTAAAGACTCACCATATGAAGCTCGAGCAGCATTAAAACATTATTGCAGAATTGAAAGGTAATCCACTAGTCGATTTTTTAAATATTCAGCAAGACAGGTGTCATATTTGAACACTCAACATAGAACCTGAACATGATCTACATACATCCCGATTTCGTGGTTACTAGGGGTGCTACATGTACTTGTGAGGTCAGCAATGGGTGAGAAATTTGCCCTCCTTGTCTCTCGGTAGTGTACCTTAAAAATGAGCCAGTAGAGCTTTTAGAAAAAATGCTCATCATTTTTCTGGTCCAAAAGCATTTATGTTCTGTCAAGTTGGGTTAGGTTTCTTGTGAGTGCATCAATAACGATCCTCGACTGAGACTCTGATCTATTGTGGCTCACTTTCTGTCACCTACCATATTATGTAAAAGATCACATTTTTTCAGATTGGTGATGTCAACTTACACGAAATGAATTCCGAGCAAGTAGCGACTGTCCTAAGACAATCTGGAACCCATGTCAGGCTTGTAGTAGCAAGACCGGTTGATATCACTTCTACAGAATATAAGTACTTGGGAAGTTCTGCTCCTTTAGTACCAACAAGACTACTACATGACCCTGTTGAGTTGGATAAGTACTTGATGCAGCACAAGTATCCACCAATATTTCAGAAGAATATCGAACAAATATCAGATTTATTTTCTAGCGACATTTCGAAATCCTACAGTATTAGTGGTTTGTCGAGGGTACCTGCTTCACCATCTCTACCTCTTTTGAACTTAGATATGGCTGTTAAGATGCCTGAGATGGAGAAGTTTGTTGTGGAGTTGAGGAAAGACGTGAATGGTTTAGGAATCACAATAGCTGGATACGTTTGTGAAAAAGAAGAATTGTCTGGAATATTTGTGAAGAGTGTTAGCAAGGGCAGTGCAGCTGATATAAGCGGAAAAATAAAAGTGAATGATAGAATTGTCGAGGTAGATGGACAGTCATTACAAGGCTACACAAATTTGCAAGCAGTGGAGGTGCTCAGAAATTGTGGAAATGTAGTAAAACTTTGCTTGGAACGATATTTACATGGACCTAAGTTTGAACAGTTGCAGCAAGCTATAGCAGCTAGTGAAATCAAACCATCGTCTCCGCCAGATGTACCACGGTAATAGAGAAGCTGTTTGTATCCCCTGTAAACCTGTAGTTGCCTTTTTCAATTGTCGACCTTTCCTATCTCTACTACTAACCTTATATGTTGCTCGCTCTCAGTGTGTACTAACAGGGTGTTGTGCTTCTAGTCTTATATTCCACTTTTCTAAAACTGTCGTATTTTATATAAATTTCAGATATCTCAAGGAAGAAGGAAGTTTAAATCTAAACAGCAATGATGATACCATACATGCCCGCAATGAGATATTTACTAGCTTTAGAAAAAAAGAAGATCCTTTTTTATCTCCAGTTAACGAAGAACTCCTAAGAAAGAAATGGGAGAAAATCATGGGTCCGGGTACCGAAATTATTGTGGCTCAGTTATCTAAATTTGGAGAAAAAGGTGGCCTTGGTATAAGCCTCGAAGGTACTGTCGATGTAGAAGATGGGCAAGAAGTCAGACCACATCACTACATTCGATCTATCTTACCCGAAGGACCTGTAGGAAAAAATGGACTTCTAAAATCTGGCGATGAACTTCTTGAAGTTAATGACCACAAACTACTGGGTATGAATCACCACGAAGTAGTGAGCATTCTGAAAGAATTACCCATAAATGTATGCATGGTGTGTGGCAGGAGTCCCATGAATTTACTGGCGCAAAGAGAAGACTCATTCTCGGATCGAGGTTGTCTAAGCCGGAGCTTACACAATTTGTTACCAGCTTCTGATAGACTAGTGAAAGCAAAATCAGACGGCTCTCTAGCTAGTAGCATAGCTGTCGCTGGTCCCTCAGAGCAGTCTTTCAGCAAAGCAAAGTCACGCTCGCTCGAACCACTTACTGGGTTAGCAATGTGGAGCTCAGAACCGCAGATTATAGAGTTGGTGAAAGGTGAACGAGGTCTCGGTTTCTCGATTCTTGATTACCAAGACCCGATAGATCCTAACGATACTGTGATAGTAATTAGAAGTCTCGTACCTGGAGGAGTGGCCCAATTAGACGGAAGATTAATTCCTGGCGACAGGCTTCTATTTGTCAACGATACTGTCCTTGAAAATGCTTCTCTCGATCAGGCGGTGCAAGCACTTAAAGGCGCTCCAAAAGGCATTGTTAGGATAGGTGTAGCTAAGCCTTTGCCGATCCCTGATACGGTCGCTCATAGTTCGTTAGTTGATATAGATGCTAACAAGTATGTTACTAGCAATTATCTATCAAACTGAATGTTACACCAACAACTATTATTTATTTTATGATTGGATATCTTGTTAACCCTTTGCGACCAGATTTATCTTTTCATTCCATGTTATAATCATATCGATTTAGTACTCGTGAATATGAAATGACCCTTCAAATTTCATGCACACAACACGATCACTCAGCTCTCTATACCTCTCCAGGTAACATCAATCCGGTCCTGTCATCTACACCTCCTATGTTGCAGCGCAGTTTTACTCATTGTAACATTCGATATATGTATGGTCGTTATCCTGGAGGATAATAATATACAGTGCGGCCGATATGTAAGTGACTGGTTTGTACCTTGAATATTTGTGAAATGAAATAAATACGTTCATTTTTTCTTCTTAATCATCTATTGAAACTTAGAATGTATGGAAAATAATATCAGACAAATGCCCGCCTCTAGAACCCGCGCAAACCTGAGCCCTCGATTAAATTTTCTTTTTTTAAAGTTCTTGAGAGAACAATGTCTGGTAGACGTCTCAGGGCGCTCCACTACACTTTCACGAACTACCGATATTTTCCGGAGGCCGAACACTTCCAGGCATTGGCGCGCAATTTAAATAAGTCGGTTATATATCGGCCACACTGTATAACAAAAATGATGATGATTATTTCCGAACTATACTCATGCTACACCGAGTTAAATATCAATTATAATAGTATGAACGTCTCATTTTTTGATAGAATTCAGAACAACCTTGTGCTTGATACAAGGTAGTCCCACATGGTAAATTGCACGATTTCATGAGGTGCTGGTGCTGTTCTTATCAAATGAGCTATTTCTTTGACTACTATTTTAATGCTGATATAAAACCTAAATCATGGCAATCACTGATCATCATGGTAACGTCAGAATCGCAAGTAAATAAATTATAACTTGGTGGTCATCCGAGAAGATAAGCATGCCGCAAAAGGGTTTAGAAAAATTTAATTTTTTTAACATTGACTGTCACCGCATATAGGATTTGGAGAATACTATTTATAAAACGTAACTCCCATACATACAACTGTCGTCAGCATACTTCAGTAAAGACACAGGTATACAGGTATTTTTTTGGAAACGATTAGCTAAGATTGGTTGATGACCTATTCTTAGAATATTTTATCCTTTGACAATTTTCGCAAACTATCACAAATCCTATGGAGAGTTGGTTTAAGCAAACAAAGTAGTTTGACAATAATTGGTATCTAGGCTGTTTCACACTTAATATCTATCAGTGAAAAAGTTGCACAAACAAAAGAAAAATTATAATCAGATGAATAGAGTTCGCATTTACAAATGCAACCAGAAGCACTTGTATTTTTTATTGTTTTACAACACTGTACGTTGAAAACCGTTGGGATCGGGTAGAGGTGATATGATACTCAACATGTTAGCTAAGCAAATAGTTGTTTATATAAACGTCAGACTATATAGCAATTAGAGAAAGTAGCATAATCGGTGAATCACGTTATGGCCTAGGAATTTTTAACATTATATAGATATATAACAAATATAATATCTGGGAGCGTCCGTTTATCCGTGTTGGCGCCCCAAAGGTATTGGCAAAGGCTAATGGAATATTTTCTTGTGGGTGCCAAGTCATCTAGTGATTACTTGAATCATTCTCACCCGAATGAGAAAAGATGTCTCATATTCCAAGAGAATGCTCGGTGGACAGTCAGGACACAACAGCAGAAGCTGTGGCTGTGAAGAATACCAAAAGGGGCTGGACTGGCAAACCTACAGAAAATACGATCGTAATATGAATAAATATGATCAACTCCATCATTCCAGAACCAGTATTAATTTGTCTTTCTCTTGATACAATCTGATTATGCTACTTTGCAGAAGATATTGATTGACGCATTTGTTAGTTTATATTGCATACTGTATAAACGTTATTAATCTTAATATATATAGATACAAATTTATTTGTGGTTTTATTTCAAATGTTCGGTGTTGTGCAGGCTTCAATGGGAAGACCTTATTAAACCATCGTTGCAGGAACATTTTAGAATACTATATTACGAATTTTCCATTACCAATACTGGCATTAAAACGATACCGATCATAGCTCAGAAATGTTAATCAAGGTATGATCTGAGATTATACAGGCTGTTCGAAAAATAGACGGGATGGTTTAGATTGCGATTCCTTGTTAAAAAATGTCAAAAAAAGTTTCTATAAATATGAAGAGTTTTCAAGATACAGATTCTGTTGCACTTTGGTAATATTATTTGTTATATGAAGATGCGAATTTAGCCCTAAATAGTTATTAGACCCAGTGGCGTCCGGGGGCGCACCTTAGCGAATATTAATGGTAAAAAAATGTACGCCACGGCCTCTTTAGAACTTCAATATTTATTGTTTGATTAAGCATCTAAAAGTACAACTTCATTGCTTCTTGTATTTTTGTCATATCTCACTTCGTTTTCAAGAAAAAAAAATATAAACTGTTTTATTGCATGTCACTAGACGAAACTGCTTTATTAATTTTTGCTAAAAAATCACAAATGTGTTTGAAAACAAAATATCAAAAATTTTACTAGGAAAGAGTGTTATTGCAACTTTTCCAATAGGCACCATGACATAAAGTGCACTACAACCAATTAATATTGAAAATTCTGCATTTCCGAACTTTCTTCTGAGCCGATTTTGATTGATTTTAGCATATGTATATTATACCTTGGAGTCTTGTTGCGAAAATAAAATCTCAAAAGGGTTGAAATAACGGGTAAAAGTAGCTATGGGGAACTATTTCTCTTTAAATTATAGACAAAAACACGTACTTTTTATATTTGGTATTTGAGCACTTACAAAGAATTATCGGGACTTCCACCACTGAGGCATGCAGTGGGGATTAACACTCTTAACGCTGAAGAAGTTTTGCCTACGATTGTATGTTCAAAATAAAAATAAGAATTCCCGAAATTATATCGTTGTAAACGTTAAGTCAAATCCTGAATTCTCTTGAAGCCAAACAATTATATTCAATCTAAAATGTACAACGAAAAACCTTAAATAAACCCGATCGAAAAATTAACCAGTGATATTGACGCTATTTTTTTTTCTACTAATTAGTCCAGGCGTTGGGTGGAATTGAATGTGGGAATGCGAGGACCGCAGTTTATGAAGTGATGACAGCGTTGCGTGGAAAGTGCAGAGTCAACCTACTCGACGCCATTTTTTTAAAGGTATAGGGTAGCAAATAATACGCCATATTGACTAGAGATTCAGTATGAATTATATTGAAAGCGAACTGACATTCCAGTAAGAAAGATATTCAAACCATTTTGACTGTTCATTACTTATAGTCCAAGCACTATCTTCACATCTGCTAGGAAAAAATTCTGATTCGTATTTTTTGCATAATCTTATTTGAAAACGATCCCTCCCTGTTAATGAATCCGCATGTTGACAGGCCCAAAATTGCTTCATAAAAGTTTTGTTTTAAACATATTTAAAAAAATGTCCTTTTCGCTCCTTTCAAAGCGGTAATAGGTTTTTAAAGCCATTCTGAACAAAAAAGCTGCCTAAGAACTTTTCTTTAAAACTTCATGTAAGTGGTTTAATGTTTGAAAAAGTGCCATGTAAGTGGTTTAATGTTTGAAAAAGTGCAAAATATGTCATTTTCGATCCTGAAAAACAATATGAAAAAGTAGAAATCTCAAAGTTGCCAATCTTTTTAAATATTGTCCAAATATCCATTAACAAAATCCCAAAGCATTTTAGGGAGTGGCTTTTAGTTGTATTTCCCTCCTTTTTTCCTTCTAATTACACCCGTATCCAGATGTGATGGGCAGTTTTCATTTTGGTGTTTTCGATGCACACGCTATAAGCAGAACCTCTATTGTATACATGTCCACGATTGTCCTTTGTTCTTCATCTAAGGGTCTATTTTGGCTTTTTTGCCGTATATCTCGAAAATTATCAACTTGAGAGAAAAGTTCTGAAGTACGTTTCTTGTTCAAAATGGCCTAAAAAAGCGAAAAACACTTACCAGGGCAACACATTTTTTGGAATTTGTTGAAAAAATTATTGAAACAATTTTAGGCCTAGCAGCATGCAGATTGGGCAATTCGAAGATACTATCTGGACTATTAGTAAGTTATGAGAGGTCAAATAATAACGAGTTTCTGGGTTACAAAATGGTCGAAATATTTGTTTTATTCAGTATTTATATATAGTCATTACAATTCTATGACCGTTCTATACAAATAAACTAGGATATAGCGATAGGAAAAATACAATAATCGATAAATAAAATAAGACTAATCGGAAATATGTATTGTAAAGGGTTTTCCAATAAGGATGGATCCATGTTGAAATAAAACAAACTGTAACGATTTCCTTTTTCATTTGAAAGGAATATGACGTCGTTCAAATGTTTTCGGCCGATGACGTCATTTTTCGTACACAACGTTGATTACCGAATTCGCTGAACGTTACAGAACACTGACTAAGTATATCCGTCTCAAAATCGACCCATCGGTTATGGAAAACTCTTTACTCTCGATCATTATAGCTATCTTTCAAACTCTCACAGCAAGGGTAGCATTACAACGAATTCATGGACTGACTTTTCATCGAACGCCTAACAATGGACATTTGGAGTGCATTTCCATGGAGCCTACATACCAGGAGAAAGTAGACAATGCTTTTCGTGCTGTAAAATCGACCCGAAACTTGACGCCTGGAGTACCAGTGGTGCTTTGACAGGGTTGGAGGATTTTTTGGGATATAATGATCTGGGGAAGTGACACGTTTCCGTTAATTAATGTTGATTTGGGATTTTTTTTAAGTAGCAAGTCTGAATGATTTTTGTGCTTGTTTTGTGGAAACCCATCTCTTCGCTCTTCAATTACTACTAATGTGTTCTGTGTGAAACAGACGCCATATTCTTCACCCGTCTAAAAGAGTATGTGCTGAATGTACGAAATTTGACATGTCTGGTACAAGAAAAAGAGTTTAGCGTCTAGCAAGCCTGATCCACAGTAGCTGGTACTCGGTCAGGCGTCAAGTTTTGGGGTTGTTTTTTCAATTCTCCTGGTATACAGGGTGATTCACAAGTCGTGACCCAAAATGAAATATCATATACAGGACTGGAGGAAAAAATGTTACATAGAAGACCCCACTCAAGATGCGGACCTGTCTCTGATGTTTCATTTTTGGGCACGTCTTGTGAATCACCCCGTATATGCTTCCATGAAAATCCCTTTATCAACTAAAAATAACTCGGATGTGAAAGCGGTAGTTACAATAGATGTTAGTAAGTGCATTTAACATAGTTCTAAAGCATACACATCGCATTATTCACTGTGTTGTTAGAAATATAGATGGGTTCAAGCACTAATAGTAAAACAATTAATACAGGATATGTATTTTGTTCCTAAGATTGTATTTAAGCAAATAAGTCTTCGGTCCACGTCTACAAAAATTGTGATAACCCAAGTGCCAGACTGTCGTAATTTTGTAGACGTAGATACAACCCTGCGGGGTTTGAAGTCGTAGAAAATGCAAGTACCACGAGTGGCAGCTTCTCAACAAAAAGTAGTTTCCGATAGTTCTGAATCAGCAATTTTTAATGTAACTCAATATAGATTGATTTTTAATTCGTACTAATTTATCCACTGCATGTCCAATCTACGAATTTAAAAAAAAATTAAATGAAAAATCCAATTCTTTGGCACATTTAGAAACTAGAAATTATGTATTCGCAGACTATCAAAGCATTGATGTATCGAAAGGCAAAACACATATAATGGATCATTCACGAGCCATTACACCTCCGATAACACAAACAAAACATTTGTTCACCCCAAAAAGATGTCGTTTGAATTGTTTTTTATAAAAAGCCAGCGTATTTAGATTTTACCAAGTCACGTGTGGATTCGTTATTTTTGAGATCTACGAATACTGGAAAAGTTGAGGCGATTTTGATATTCAGATCTAAATAGGTTGAAGATGTTCACAACTACTAGCTGGATTAAATGTACTGTATTCTCAACCAATGTGCCCAAAATAAACCAAATATATAAAAAAAAATCAAAGAACATAACAAAACAACTACATACATACACTAGTTAAACAGCAAAAACCTTTGGTTTGTATCAAAAATTCCAAAAATCTTTATTCCACTGTAAAATAAGTAACGAAACTTTGTGTCACATTGTTCGTAAAAAATGACTGAAAACTGCTAAAGGGTAACTTGAAACACTCTGGACGAGTTTTTATAAATTTAGACCTCCTTTTCATTGTTAAAGCTCTACATTATAGTACAAAGATTTTAGTAGGAAACCATACTCACTTAGAGAGTTCAACTATGCAGCAAAGTTGCTGACAACTGTTATGTTACAACTATTGTACAAGTATCTTCAGCTAACATGAGAAAATTTGAGAAATATAACAAGCTATCTAGAAATTTGAACACATCTAGTCAAATATTCAACAACAAATTAGTCTGACAGAGCACATTATCTACCGGGTGACTCAATAATAAAGCACGCCTGCTGTATCTCGGCAACCGCTCAACCTAGAGGTATAGGTTGCAAAATGTATAAGAAAGTGGGCAAGAAAAATTGCTGGAAATTATTTGTAGCTTCCCAAAATAGCCACCAAGCACTCAACCTTCCCCACCCTAAACTAACTAAAATACGACAAAATGACAAACAAAAAAGTTCGGAAAATTGAGCCGATTAAAACGGTTATTGTGGCGATTTTTTAAAATTGGAATAAGCATTTTCTCGTATCAAAATGTTCATCTGATTAAAATGAGCGGTTACCGAGATACAGCCGGCGTCCTTTATTATTGGCCGAGTCTACGTGACTTTTAATTTATATGGAAAATCTGGACACAAAAAATCAGCAATATTTTTTTAAGTCGTACTACTGTTCATTTGACACTGTTATCTAAAACTGCATATATTTATACAAATTTGAAATAGCACTGCTATCCGCAGATAAATATGGACGCAACCTTCAAAAATGAATTATTTCAGAATCAAATATGCATACCATTACAACTTTTAGGAATACGGTACGTCAATTTTAAGTGCAATTCATTTTCAGTGAATTGTGAAATTATATATTTTCAATTGACATAGTAAGCACAGTCTCTGCCAAAAATCATGTAATTTTTGAGCTCACAGCATGGCAAAGTCTACGAATCCGATCCTTTGCTATTCACAAACGCGTGAGTCGTTGCCATGATACTCATTCGAGTATTATTAAAATGCCAGAAAATTATACTGTACACGCCTACGCAAAATGAGTAGACGTAGAGCGAATCTGGAAGAGGTTAAACTACATATGATCACTGCCCCATCAGTAGACCTTGACATCTTATGATAGTGTTCCCTCGTTTTAGCAGAGGGAATGGGGTCAAAGGGAATATGACATTCGACCAAGACAGTTGCTCACCCCAAAATCTGAACCAGTCAGATCTATTGGTTTGACCATGACATATCCACAGGTAATCTTTTCTGTTTTCTTTTCTGACTAAGAGCCAGCCATATGCGTTCAAAACTAAAACTTCTAGAAGTCAAACCATATTGGCTGGAACCTATATCTAAATACAACATGTTTGCTAAATAAATATTATATCACAGCCTCCCTTTCATAAAACCATACACTCTGATTGAAAGAAACAGTTTGAATCACAGTGTTTCACTATCATATACAAAAGGCACTGGCCATCAATTGGTTTCATAGCTGGTGAGTAGAGCTGCGTCTACCGGCTCCAAGCAACTAGGGCAAGTAAGACTCCTCATCAACCAATCATCAATGCACGTCAAGTGATATGTGTGCATACAGGGCAAATATCGCAATGGGTCACCCACGACAAATTCACCCATGCAGATTACGCATTCCCTAACCTGCAACCAATAGTATTCATATAGATGACTCGGCAAGATACAGGGTGTCCCAGCGTAATCAGATAAAATCAACATGACGTTAGTTTTTCAAAATATTGCCACTTTCAAGCTTTTTCAAAGCATCACTACTTTTTGCTCCTTTTTTGCCTGTTATGGCTATAAAGAACTTCTAACTATGTTTTTTCCTGGGCTACCATTAATAGTTGGTTGAGACAACCGAGTATTCAGTTCATGGAAATGCTAAAAAAATATTACATTTTGTTTCAATGTGCAAACCTTTACTAAAGCTTGACTAATTACTGTGAAAAAATGTACCAGACTGAATCGGCAAATGATCTTAAAAACTCCAATTTACTTTAGATTTTTTGCAACATCTACCCATTCTTTTGGAAGATGTGCCCCTATCTTGATGAAACATTCCCTAGAAGATGGATTGGCTGGCTAGGACCAATTTTGTCCCCAGACCTGAACCCTCTGAATCTACTGGGGATGTTTAACAGATAAGGTGTATGGAAAACCAGTTCGATCAGCACACAAATTATCCGATTCAAGTTCGAGCCGGTTAAAATGACAATTTTTAAGAAGATGCAGGTTGTGCATAAGAGTCGGTCGTAGACATTTTCAAAACGTGTTGTGAGAATAAAAATAATAATGATAATAATAGTCATTTATTTTAGGCAATATTTACATTACAGGATGTTAATTTAATTTTCGTTTAGTTAATTTAAGATGTTAATGATTCCTAATTATTTGATTTGAATGTTGTAAAAATCAATGGAGATAAAAAACGACAACCCAATGTTCTAATCATTATTTTAATGCCTGCATACAACAATAAATGAAAAAAAGAATGGATAGCTGTTTTAGACATTTGCAAATATAAAAAGCTATTACAACAACTACAAAGGTGTAATTTGAACACAAAAGGCAGCTGCACTTAGTATTTTTCATTTGTGGTATATATTCCGCAGAAATTACGACTTCAATGACAACAGCTGGAATTTATCAGTTTTTAGTAAAAAGAACCTACACATGTTATACTATTTTTGGCATAGCTGGTATTTTAGGTCATTTGCTGATTCAGTCTGGTACTTTTTTTTTCACAGTAATTAGTCAAACTTTAGTAAAGGTTTTCGCATAGAAAACAAATGTAATAATCTAGTTTCTTATCACACCTTGCTAGTTTTCAATGAAATGAATAATCGGTTGTATCAACCAAATATTAATTCTGGTCGAGAAAAAAATCATAAGTTAGCAGTTCTTCATAGCCATAACAGGCAAAAAGGAGTGATTTGTTTGAAAAAACTTGAAAGTGGCAATATCTCGAAAACTTTTACTGAGGTCATGTTGATTTTATCTGATTGATCTAAAGCGAATCCACCTCCCGTGTCACTATGGCGTGTTATTTCTGGGACACCCTGTATCTACGCTATTGAAAAACGCAATAACCATACATTTTACCTAATATCAAACACTGCTCTGGGACCCAACTTTACTATTGACCTGCGAGATTCAGAATTTACGTCTTTCGCACAAATTGTACAGTATAAATGTAGCATTTTCTAAGGATTGTGTCAGTTTGGCAACACCGCCTGGTTTGATGCAGAGCCCCCTTGAGCAAAACGCCAAACCAAGGGTTAATTGGCAAAATGCCGAGCGTTCCGCTCATGGATCGCTGTTTCTGTTGTAAATCAGTAATAGTCCAAGAGCCGACCCAAAGTTTTGGTTAGATCGCGTACTGAGATATGTTAAATTTGCGGTCTGCCCCCTTATTATAATGTGAAAAAAACTCTTTTGTTGAATAACCATTTAAAAACAGCGTGCTGGAAATTAAACCATGTGACGATTTTAGATAAGAAACCTTGAATGTTCTCTACTCTACAAAAAAGCAATTATATTTCTTTTAGATGTTATTAGTGTTGTATTCTTTATGAAGCTATTGTTACAAACCTTTTTACAGCCATCATATGTCCCAGTAGGAAGGTGCTGAATCAACCCAATCCTTTTTGCTATTTTCACTTGTTCCTCTTCTGTCAGCTGTGTAATGGACCTAGTGACACTTGGAGACAAGTGGTAGACTGGAGAAACTGCTTGAATCGGCAACGTTTCCTACGAAATAACAATGGCCAATAATCTAAAGTGGAAATAACCCAAGTGTTGGCAAAAACATCTTTTGATTTTTACCAAAAAAATTACAGTCTGCCCCCACAACATGCTATGCTTCAAATAATAAAAATTTTTATAATAATTATTATTTATAAATACTTGATGACAAACATAGAAGACAAAAAGCGTCAAATTAATAAAACATGTCAAGTAGGTTGGCTCTCTATTTTCCACAGAATTCTAGACAAATGGACTTTATTATATGCATCATGCTGATTTGGCAAAAATTGGAAGAATGGACTTATGAAGGAAAGGCAAGCAGCCAAGATCACATTGAGCCCCTTGTATGTCCTCCAAAGGGCACTCTCAAGGACTGAATCAACCACCCCAAACTAGTGAAAAAATGTGGTGATGCAACCCAGCAGAGTTTCACTTACACTAGTCATAGAAGGCCAAAACTCTTCCAGAATAGGTTCCTGAATTGATAGAACAGCTCTGCAGTTCCTTCTTAACCCTTCTAAGTTCATACCTGTATGTAATATCACTTTCTGACATAGTGATAAGAACATCCAGTTTTGATTTACAGTTTTTAATTTCCATATTATTTCTGCTTATTGTGTTGTGGTTTGGGTGGTATGATCTTAGAGGAAATGTCAGTATAATAGTTAATAAGTGTTGCATTGTTCATAGATATTATAAGCTAGAATTTCATATTTTAACTCCCTATTTTCTTGCAGAGACATGGTTGCTTGCTACTATTAAGACATTTCTTATATTCAAGTTCATTTGTTTGGTATGAAACTATTGTTATTTTTTGTGCACAGTGATCTGAAGTATGATTCTGAATAAGATCAGTCTGCAAATAGGTTTGATTAGTGAAAATATTATCAATACAACTGTTGTGATCTACTAAAACTCGCCACAGCTGCCATTCTTTTTAGTTGTTTAATGCTTTGAAAGCCTCATTCTGTATCCACAGTTTTGATATCTTTTTTTTAATCTCTCGATATTCCACTGACATTATACATATAGATATGTTAACACTCATTATAATGCAACACTAAATCATATGGGGAAGATTTTGCTCACACAATAGGTATATCAAGGGTACAAACTTTGGAGAAATATCCATATTTTGCTGTGGGAATCTTACCTGGTATGCTGGGGGGCCCAACGGATCAGCTGACGACTCTCGAACACTGTCACTTCCCCTCAACAGCGAAATATCATCTGTTGTTGATCTCTTGAAACAGTTGCCCATTTTCACAGTATTTTTCACGCATTAAGCAGCCTTGTATATCAACAGAGGCATTTTGTATCAGTTGCTACGATACCATTTTGTCACTCGAATATTGCTTTTTATTTAGAAAGCCGTTGTCAACATTCAAAACAACTCAACATTAAAGGAAACGTCTGATATCTACACAATTATACCTTACAATACAAATGAATACAGATTCTTTCATTTCCAATTTCTAATCCAGTGATCTGTCAAGATGAAACTCAAAACATAGAACGTCGCAAAATACAGCTGATGAACAAAGAACGAAGTCCGTATCACGTCCCTATTCTGTAAATCAAAAGTTACCAGCTTTCTAACAAACATGGGACAGTTTTAATTTTATAAGCCAATCAAACTAAGCCTTTGCTGATCATATGACCAAAAATGGAGCACCATGGAGCACTGTTAACGCGTCCTGGTCAGTATCACGCCATGGAACCATGTGGACCAAAATATGTCATTGTCATGTATGTCATATGTCAAAATGTCTCTTTCAGCGTTGCCGGATATACCGAGGCTTCGTTGTAGCCGGAGTGTGGAAAAAAGTAGTGTAATCCGACGCTTGACTCCCAAGTAGCGTCGCCAACCTCATCCGAGAGAGCTTGAAAAAAACTGTAGAATATTATTTAAAAAACTGTGAATCTACAGCCTTCCATTTACAGTATTTTTCGCGAGTATCTATCGCGGACCAACGTCAGAAAGTGGCAGTTTTGCATTTCTTAAGGAAATTCTTTTTGAGCGATTAAGGTTTTGATCGGCCTTGAGTGACAGAATTTCCACTTGAATTTTTCCATATTCACTCAAGGCCAACCAGAAGCAAAATCGCTCAAAATGATCAGCAAGTAGATATTGATGTTGACTTTGCACAAATTTGTCGGTGGTTGAAAATTGAAGAGAGTGGCACCTTGCTTGAGCAGCACTCGGTTAAATGAACAAAACAGATGCCGCGAGCGAACGAAAAACTGTAGATTTGGAGGTCCGAGCTGAAAACTTGGCAGATTTTTGAATACCAAATCTACAGTTAAAACTGTAGGGTTGGCAACCCCGCCCTCAACAAAGATTGGGAGCTGCAAGGAGGTGTTGCTAAATTCCAACCAATGACGACGCAGTACGACGATAGCCGCACCGACGCCATACGCTGCTGCGAACTAACGCGCGATTACTATACCGTGCGTATTTGTGAACGGCAGAAATTACTTACTTTTGTAAAATAATATAATAGGCTACAAAAGTTTAGTAGGTAATAAGTCCAGCAGATGGCGCGTCGAGTGCTAACAGCAAAAATCATAAGATTTCCTAAGCATGGCCCTAAAACTTTAACGAGAACTTTCAACTATATAGTTTTTAAAATTTGCTTGTGATATGTACCAAATCACATATTGTCTGTCGTTATCTGCACTATACTAATCATTATTTAAAACGTTGGTTAACTACTAGATCATAAAACATGAGCGAAAGATAGGACTTAAATCAAGGTTCAAATTGAATCACTCAATTCAAATTCGAATTTGCCAGCGCCATCTCTGCACACAAAGTTGCAGTATTGTAACATGGTTGCCAGTTTCCTAGACTGGTCAAGCTTATTGAAAAAAAGAAATAGAGCAAAGTAGGCGGAGCTTCGGCAACAGGACCGAACGCAGTTTATAATACACGGTGCGGCAGAGAGGATGGACGGTTTTAAAAAAATCATAAAATAGTTAATTTTTACTCGAGAACAAATTTATTGATGGAATCAGGTTCACAAGGAAATAGCATTTGAGACAGTCAAGTGTGGAAAATCACATCAGGCATGTGGTGGCCGAAATCGTTGATGCTGTGCTGGAGGCGTTCTTGGAAGTTCGCGTAGACTCTCTCCAACATCGCTCTCTCAACTTGGGCGAATTTCGCCCTTCAATTCGTCCAGAGTTCGGGGCTTGTTCGCGTATACTCTAGCCTTGAGGTGTCCCCATAAGAAAAAATCGCATATGGATAAATCTGGGGACCGAGGAGGCCAAACCTGGAAATAAGGCGACCAGGGAAGAGAGGGTGAATAACGTCCATGGATGCTCGGGCTGTGTGGGCGGTCGCCCCATCCTGCTGGAACCACACACGTCGGATTGGAACACGTCGCCTTCGTAATTCAGGGAGAAAGAAGTTGGTGATCATGTCGACGTAGCGCTCTGAGTTCACGGTAACATCACGACCATTACCCTCTTCGAAGAAGTAAGGGCCAATAATTCAAGTTTGCGGTACAGCGCACCAAACCGTTACTTTTGGGCTGTGCAGCGGTCTTTCGTGTAACTGTTGCGGATTTTCATTAGCCCAATAACGACAATTCTGCTGGTTAACCATGCTGTTTAGGTGAAAGTGGGCTTCGTCACTCATAGGCGAAAACGCGATGCTCTACCGTCCAAGGTTCCATAACGACAACTGGCAAAATAATGCTAGGAACACAATCTGCACGATGTCACATAATTAAAATTGGAAATCGGGACTATTCACCTATATCTGGTTCATAAAAATTGAGCTTTCAGTTTATTTTGGTGGCATTTTCCTGATGCTATCTTGTAATCAGCTTCTTAAATTGTAAAAAAGGCTTAGGTGCACAAAACAACACCTATAAGATTCGCTGTGGCGGGGAAGAATGACATGAATCCCTGCGCTTGTATGGAAAAAGGGCATCATTTCATATCGAACTTGCCATTTTCTGTGACTCCTGTGCAGTAAATCTTAATTACCGATTTTCTCAAAATCAGTCCGGATGAAATATTGTCGTTATTCCCCGGTACCCTTCATATCTATTGAACACAAATTTGCTTTCATAGCCTCAGTCCGGTCCTGTGTAAGAGGAAATTCAATCAAATTCTCTGGCAGAGCCAGAAAGAAAACAGGAAAACAGACAGATGACCAAGCTGCGAGCATGCGGCGAGGGCCAGACGCCAGTAAATATGCGATCAGTGAGAGAGATGAATAGACGTGTTTTCGCGAATCGGAGTGTCTCTTGGTCTGTCTTTGATGGATTTCAAATTGATTCACGCTTTTCAATCAATACAATGACTTATTTTCATTGAGCCTTATGCCCTTATTTGATTAGGATTTCTATAATGAATTTGAAACACAAATATTGCCGCCCCTATATGCTCGGTGCCGCATTTGTACTGTTCATTGGTAAGTTTATTATATCCTAAATTTCTGTTATTTTTGTAACCGCTGCAGGAAATTTTAGTGAATGAGGGTCAAGCACGCAAATGTTATATTTGTGGGGACGAGGGTGACCCTCCGTGTAAGAATTTCGAAATGGACAAGGAAACGTTTTCTAAACAATGCAACCCCTCCGACCAAGCTTGTTTGCTGAAGATTTCAGGTATTTATATATTCGAAATGTTTGCATTTTTAGATACTATTGCTAACTGAAAATTCGAAAATTATACGATATCCATAATAGACGAGGCCAAAACCTCGCATTCATTTCATTTTCAACATGAATTATGAGCCGGCCGGACGATAACTCGATGCTTTTTCAAATAAAAATTTGTTTTTTCTTCACCCTAGACAAAGTTTTTTGTTTTACTTCCCACGCCTACTGGCGATCCAGTGGCGGCGGTGAAAGAGGCCTAAAACGAAAAAAATAATAATTGCTCGATCTTCGCAATTTTTTGATGTTAGGAAATTGATTACACTCTCAGCCCCGGTAAGTCTAGGCACCTATTACACATATTTCACACATCATAAATTTTCCCGTATATTTGCCCTTAAAACTTTACTGTCAACGGGTCGCGTATCTATCGATAGCACTTTACGTGCTCGACGGGGTTATTTTGCATCTTTGGTAGTGGATCGGAGGGATTTATAAATGCAGTTAGATGCGATATGCACATACGAGGTCGGCGCGATATTATCATATATATTATGCTTGTACTGCAATTCAATGAGGTTACCTACCCCGATAGCATTAAACATTTATTAAATATTTTTAAAAAATGTTTCCTTAAATATTTGTAGCGACAGATTTTTTAATATTTAATAAAGATGTTTCTTATATATTTATGAAATATTCATTACAAATATTTGTAGAATATAAAATACATATATTTTTGCGATATTTTTCCAAATATTTAGAAAATATATGAGGAAAGATTTTTAAATATCAGTTTTATATTTTGAAGAAATATCTAATATTTTCCGAAATACATATTTTCAGTGTATATAGAAAATTCTTCGTTGGTTATTTTAGCAAAATCTGTAGGAATGCTTATATAAAATTGGTTTTATAAAGAAAATTCATTCTATAATGGTTTAATTTGCTAGAAAAATATTATTAAAAACACATTCTAAGCCTCTTCTGCATCTTGCAAGTTCACTCCCCTGAAAAAAAAACTTATGTGATGAATCAGGAAGTTGCTTATAGCCATACTGTACACTGACTATATAGTAAGTTATTTTTGAAGGCAGAAAACGGGTTCGCTCATGCGAAAAAGAAAGAATTGAGGATTGTAAAATAGCAAACGGCGTGAAGTATTGCTTTTGCACTACAGACCTGTGCAATGATGATGAAACCAGATTCGTAACTCCAACAGACGATGAGGATATTTTGGAGGGAAGCGGAATAAAAATGATACCTTCCTTGACGGAAAAACCACAAGTCTCTGTTGTTGTGTCTTCTGCAAGCTCCGTCAATTTTACTATTTTATTACTATTATTATCATTTTTACTAATACTGGTATGAGATGGTTGATTCTTGGGTATTTTACGTTCAGTATTATCATATAACGTATACAATACTAACGAAATGATGAGATGGAATAGACAGTGATGAGGCATTCCAAAATCGTTCTGTCTGAAATTCTTTTAAAACTGTAGTCGATATTTTTGATTTATTCAGTTAAAGGAGTAAACGACTCGACGTTGAAATATGAGCAGTTAATTTTTTCTTTTTCCTGGATATAACACTATAAATGCCCTATCAATATTAATCCATTTCATTATTTCTCATTAAGTCTCTTAGTCTTCCTAAGTATAATCATATATGTACCTAAACTTTTCTATATTCCATGTGAGTATGTATTATATACAATTTGGGGTACCAACCATATAAAAACCATCAAATCGGTTGTTATTTTGAAAGAATTGAGGTAAGAAGGGGCCTAAGCCACAATGACTTTACTTCGAGAAATTATAATTTTCATTTGAATCCTGAAATAACGTGTTTTTTCAATTTCGATGAAATAGGTCTATATTTTGAGGAAAAAAAATCGACAGAACCGAAAAAATATAACGCATTCTCGTAAAATAAATACATGTTACTTCCCACTCAAAAATGAGATATATTGTTTTTTTAATGTTATGTGATATAAGCATTGAACATTGAAAATATTTGCAGTCACAGATCTTCTAGTACGGTAAATCTAGTAGGCTGTGGTGCGAATCGGTTGATTAGGTCGAGCATCGCTTGACCATCAGCGTAATATGAACCTTGATGATTGTTCGTGTAGGTATGCTAGATGGGTGAACTAGAAGCCTAAGACTTTTCGAGGTCTTTTAGGAAAGGTCTGACCTTCCACAGATAGTTTTTATCAAGGTTTTTAAGCGTTAAAAATGGTCCTTTTTAGGATGTTTTGGACCATAAATCTCGTATAACTTGAAAACTGTTAACTCTTTAGAGGAATGTTACCAGGCCCTTTTTTGTTAAGAATGGCCAAAGAAGTCGTCTGTGGTCTACGATAGTCGTTATATAAAAGGCTAATGTTAATTTTGATAAGTAGACTGTTCATAAATCATTATCTAAAATAGTTTTCCTCCGTGGCAAAAGCATAATCTACATTTATGACGGCAGCAACGTTATTTGTTATTTGTTGAGAATCTGCTGTCAGCAGCTGAACTAAATCCAAAGCTATCTTTGTTCTCTGTATCATTAAAACATCCATTGTTTTCACCTGCGGCCAAATTCCGTTTAGCGTCCATCTCGTGGTATAACTTTCTTGACGTAAAAATGTATGGGATATCGTGGCTGTTCAAAAACGCCTCTAAGAAAGTATAGCGTCATCTATCTGCAAATTGTCAAAAAATCCTCTCATCGTAACCGTGTCGAACTAGCTCCTTTGAAGAGGAGGCTTTTCGCAGTTCTTCTAACCTTAGGCATGTAAAAAAATCAAATGTGGCTCTAGGTACCTTATTACCCCAAACCCTTCGATTGATGCTAAGCGTGCTTTATATCATTGTTATTTTTTAACGGTTAGCAAATAAACGGTAATCAAGTATGATAGTGTGGTGCTCCATAACCTCCATTTAATTTTTAAGTATATTTCCCTAATTGTCGTCAAGTCTTTCACTGACTTTGTGTAAAACTGCCAACAGAACTAATATAAAACCGAAGAAGGCTGTGGTAATAAAATCCTACAGTGGTTTAGTAACCATATAATTAATGTGCTTTGAAAAGAAAGTTCTATTTATTTATCTGCTTTTTATACTCTACATATGTGTAACGTGCATATGAAGAAATCCTAGAAACAGGACCCTCTAAAAATAAGCATGCATTAGTAAAACCAGTTTTGATCGGCTACTGTAATATTTATATCATACAAGGTGTTCTGCTGTTGCATTTATACGATTCAGGTCAGGACAAGCTAGACGCTCTTAAATACCGAGTACGGTAGTCTCGAAAATGTGCACATCAGCTAAAATATAACTAGATAGGTATTTTGCATTTTGAGAATTGTTACTGCAGATTACTAAAATGTTTTCCGCAGTTATTTGGGGTGTAGTAGGCATTTTTAGTGGACTTCAAAACTCTGAAATAAATCAACAAGTCACACTGGCGAGGCCATATTCTAGTTGAATTTCGAAAATAAGATATTATGTTTTTTGATTCACGAAAAACCATGACACTTATGTCCGTCTGATTATCATGAAATTTGCACACAAGGTTACTACTACACCAAGGACGAAAAAGCCTTGTAGTTTTTGAAAATCGGTTCAGTGGTGGCGGTACTACAGGCAAAAAACGAAAAAAAAAATAAATAAAAACCGCTGAAACGCTAATTTAGCCCTAAAGAGATTAAAATTATTAGGTCCAGTGGCGTCTCGGGGGGCACCTGAGCGAATATTATTGGCAAAAAATGTACGCTACGGCCTTTTTTCGTAAATTTAATATTTGTTGTTTGATTAACCATCCACAATTTCAACTTCTTTGCCTCTTGTATTTTTTCGTATCTCGCTTTGTTTTCGAGAAAAAAATAAACACCTTTTTATTGCATGGCACTGGACAAAATTGATTTATTAATTTTTGCTAAAATAATCACAAGTGCCTTGAAAAACAAAAAATCAAAAATTAGCCTCTTAATACAACAAATGATATTGCCGAATTTATAGATATATATTTATATTTTGAATATACCAATAAAAAAAGTTGAATTTATCACCCTGTATCTTGAAAACCCTGCCTTTCCGGTTTATAGAAACTTTTTTTTTCATATTTTTCACAAGGAATCACCCTCTGAGATGTCTCCGTCTATATTTCGAACACTCTGTATAAGGATCTCACACCTTTTTTGGCGACTCCTATTTTTTGCTGTTTCAGTTGGTATTAGGACGACTTTACCTACGGTGAAGAGTATTATATCCATATCCAAGGCATACTGATTCGACCAATACAAATCGTAGATTTTATTTCTGGTATTTCCCACAAAAAACACAAAAGATTTGTCCTAACGCTGATTGGCTAACCAATCAAATCTTCTTTTGTACCTCAACCAATACGAATAAACTCATACCCAGCGCAAAAACAGGAAAGATTAGTGTGAACGCTCTTATCAGTAAACAGAATTAGACGCACAAAAAATGCCTTATGCGGATAGGTCGACCAACACGGTCATCGTTTACAACAACGAATTGTATGAACGCCTTGCTAGGTATGGAGTATAGGCGGAGCATCCATGATTTTTTTTCACTCACAATATATTTTATCAGTGACTTTAGAAAGACGAAAGCCCCACATTCGTGGAAGGTATTTTTCAACTCCATTTTTACTTCCCACGCTAGGTGAAAGACCATAATATAGTCACTGTCGCTGCTCTGGTGACTCGGCAACTGTTTGTTTCGGTGCTATCGGGCTCACCCATCGCCGTTCCGATAGCAGCGTTGCAGTTGCCTGTCAAATAGGTGACTGCTGGGGACAAATTCACTAGTTTCCTACAGTGAATTTTTAATAGTCCCAAACATCCAACCCCCTGTATAAATAGGACGTTTGCACCGTGCATTTACTGCATATCGACATCCGTTTTTAGATTTGTTTATCCTGTACACGGGTATTTAAGAAGTATTTTTGATATTAGTGGAACACCTTGTATCTACATAATTATCCTCATACATATTTCAGTATTCGTTGTGGAGGTAAGCTACACACCTTTTCCATAGATTATGTTATTTTTTATAAAAAGTGACTCTTCTTCTAGTCATTATGCATAATTTCTTTTGAATGTCTATGGGTATTTTTATAAATGCAAATGAATCAATTTCTCAATTTATGTGATTTTTATTGTAAGACTGCTGTTTGTAGAAATGTTATCGGATACATAGGTATATATATACCTACTTTTTATACTTAGCTGTTTATGTAATATATGTATATGTAGGCCAAGAAATAGCGAGATTTTGTGTAAGGAAATCCTACAATTTGGACGACTAGTGGCGTCATGATAGGGCTGAATCGTCAAGTAATAGACACAATTTTGTAATAAATCAAATTCTTCATCGTTTTCCTTCTACCTAGTATATACAGGGTGATTCACAAGTCGTGACCAAAAATGAAACGTCATACTCAGGATCGCATTTGAAGGGGGTCAGTCTGTCTATTGGCGATTTTATCACTGAGTAATTTCAGTAACCGTTGCAGCGATGTTAATGTCGTTGAAATTGTAGGAAAAAAATAATTATTCCCTGTGAAGTATTCTAAGCTTCACCCTGTGTATGATGATGTCAATAAATTATTTTTGTATATCTATTATATCAAATGAATGTCAATTTCAGTAACTTGCCTGTAAATCCATTATATATTTTATATGCTTTTTTACGTAATAAAACTTGAAAAACCGTTGTTTCAATCATTTCACTAACAACGTGCGTGGGGGCTCACAGATGCTAATCGAGCTAGTTTAGATGCTGTGTTAGATGTCTATTCTTGTAAATATAAACATGACATTCTGCATTTCCAGGAAATTTATCGGTCCAATTTAATTAGAAGTAATTATTGCAGTCGTCAAGCGTGCATACAATACCTATCCACATTTACAATACACATATTTGCATATACAGGGCAATTCAACGAATTCGGAGACGGTACATTCACGTTAACTATTCATTGTTGGTTGGATTTTTGCTGGATTTGGTTTGTTCAAGAAATACGAGGTCTGTAAATTAAGTGATGAGACTGATATTTTTATTCAAATATAATTTCAATTATACATGGTCACTCGCAAAATAGGTTTCTTCTGAAGCCACACAGCGCTGGAGACGGCACTTCCACTCCGATACTGAAGTACCTGGTCGGTTATAGCCGTTTGAATGTTTTCGACTTTCCCAAAGGACTCAATTCAGGCGAATAAGGAGTCTGAGGACAAGGAGCATTATGGTGATGCAACACAAAGTTGTTCTTGATCTGATGAACGGTGGTGTGGTCAAATTTTACTCTTCCCCGATCATTCAACCGACGATCCCGGATTCTGTCAATATTTTCATCGGTTCTTGAACGTAAACGCCTTCCGCTTCGTGGTTCATCTTCAATCGACTCTCTTCCTTATGAAAATGCCTTAAATCACAGAAAAACCTGGGCTCTAGGCCTGCTGAAGTTTAGCAAGAGTTTGTCGCACGGTGCCCAAGCTACTCGAAATTGATGTCACTCATTTTTAGAACACAACAGGAAAAACTTTCACAAAGAAATCAACCAAACGACTCGAGCGAGTTGAAACGTGTACTGAAAGCGGATCACATGTTCCCCTGTCTCCCCTACAAGCCCGGCGCCGCCTCCAGTGTTGCCAGAGCGAATGTTACGTTACCAGTCTCATCACTTAACTTACAGACCTCGTACCTGTAAAGTCCAGTAAGCAGGAAGATATTCAAAGATAAACAAGAGTTATGACAAGATCCTTGCTAGACAAATTAAAAAACCTCCGACCCAGTGAATCTCATGTTGGGACTTTCCTCGTAAAACCCACACACAAATCGGTTCTCCCGTGCAAATATACTTTGAACAAGGCAAAATATATACAGAGAAATCCAAATATCACGGACTAGGTAGGTAATGTGTACGAGAGAGAAGCGTGCAATACGTATGATAGAAAGAATGCGCCGATCGCAACGCAGCAAATCGCACCAGTTGCTAGGGAACGTGGTGCTTCTATCTCTTTCTAACATACGTATTGTTTGCTTCTCTCAGGTACACTTTACGACATCAGCGGTAAATGTATTTCTCTGTGTATACTACAAGATAAAATACATTAAAATGAATACGAAACAACCTACGTGTTTCCGATCTCGACCGATAGTCATTATCTGTGATTGAAGCGCCATCTCCGAATCGGAAGTTTAATACGAAAGATATTCAATCATCAAAGAGACGTGTGTCATGTGGCTCGTTAACCACGCCCCTTTTGCGGTCTTTTTTATGTTAGCCATATCGATAACAGATGGCGACACAACTACCATTGTATTTCTGCAACTTGACAGAACACTTTCCGTGTATATGTTTTGTGGTTATTACAAACAAAACATTAATGTACTTTCTGGTACATTTTTCTCATTAATCAAGTACAATTACTAGTAGGGACACTGGTTTGAGGGTGTATAAGATTATTTGACATTGAAAATGTCTATTAACAAGATTCAGGATGATATTCCTCTAGCAGATGACGATCCACAAGGTAAAATTTGATGATAACGAAAATTTCCACTTTGCTATTGTTTTTGGATAGGCCTTAATACCTCCGGTAGACGATACTTTATTTTTTTTTCGTTCATTGTCTTGCCTAGAGACCAAGCCAAGACTGTACTGATAATTGTCAACAAGCATGAAACAGCATTGTGCACAGTTGGTCCTTTGTTGGTTAGATTAACAAAAAGTATTATTATTGACAAATTCACCTAGTTTTTACTTTCTTTAACTTTACAGTGATCATAAATGATGATCCCGACCCAACTTCAATGTCTGAGGGTAACTCATCTAGTATGATGCATGGTAGAAGCATGGACTCGATTCAGTCTACCTTCACCAATGGAAGCTCCAGCCCTGCTCATAACAGCTTAGAGCCTGATACCAACCCTGATGAGCAAGAGGAGAAAGCTCGATTAATTTCCCAAGTGCTCGAATTACAAAACACTCTTGATGACCTGTCTCAAAGGGTAGACAGTGTCAAAGAAGAGAACTTGAAATTACGTTCTGAGAATCAGGTTCTAGGCCAGTATATTGAGAATTTGATGTCGGCATCTAGTGTATTTCAATCTACTTCCCCAAAAATAAAGAAGAAGTGAAGATGTATTTGGTTTCAAGCATTGCATTTAGCACCAGCTTTTCCTGATGTATAATACCAAAGATCTTCTTGAGTCAAGCTAGGCTTTTTCAACTGTGTGGCATAAACAGGGTGTTAAAAAAGTCTCAGACCTCACTCTCTAATAAAAGAAATTCCAAATAAAAAAATGGTCACAAAAGTTGCAGGGTTTTAATAGAATCTAATGGTCTAACTCCAAAATTTTAAATAGAACCATATCTTTTTGACTTATGGAAAGAGCAGACAATCTTATTGCAGAAATTACCGTGATCAAGGAGATTTTAAATTTTTAAGAATACCTCTAAATGATTTTGAAGGCCATGGTTCAAGTCAGGATCAAAATGATTTCCAAATATAAAACTTTCTGCAGCCTCAAAAACATATAATTATTATAAAGCTCAAGGTCATGGTCATTTCTGAATTGAAAAGTTGAGCTGTTGCCAAAGGTAGTGTTGAACAATACACATCCATAAGTTAACTGCTCACTTGACCATTTTCTTGTTTGAGCAGTGTTTTCTGAGATAGATCAGGGGTTGATAACTTTTTGAAGACCTTGTAGTTTATGTTAGATTGATCACTCATGTGATGATAAAGGATATTCCCTTGTTTAGACTATCTTCAAATTGATTACATGCACCTCAAAAAACTTTTATAATTGATTATTAAATTCACTTTGTTCACAAATGTGTTGTTACAGGATTAATACTAATTAGTCTTGCAATGTTTTTATTTTTTTTGTTGACAATTTTTACTTTATTATTCTGAAGTTATCACAGACTTGACAGTTTATTAGCTTTGTAATAAATTATGTATAATGTGTTATAGTACCCAGAACAGAATTAACAAATACTTGTTTATTTGACTTTTAAATCCAAAATATAAATAATGTGAACTAATATATGTGATTGCTGAAAAGAAATTAGTATAGTAATATACTATTATGTGTATATTAAGAAAATCGTTGTTTGATAATTGTGATTTATTTTGCTTAGAAGCTGCTAATAAATAGTATATGATTATCTTTTGTTTTGATTGTCTTTGACTCAAAATCATTGCATATCATCTTCAAAAAAGCCAACCCTGCCAAATATCGGCAATGGATTGAGAGGCTTGCATCAGGCAGCACCCTCATAAAAAAAATATATTTTTGTTTCTGAAAAAATCGCCAGCTGTTTATTACAATGTATACAGTGAGCATACTGATTGCTGTTCAAACTCCTTTTGCCATTCTTGTTTATAAGTTTCTGAATATTTTTCTGTTTCACCCCTGAACTTGAAGCCTCATCACCTGACAACTTAATTTAATATTTAATTAAATACAGACAAGCTCTGGTTTCCTTATTGCTGTCTGGTGATGCGATAATGATGGTGATCTACGAATATAGGGAAATCGAAATAAGGGATGTTTATACATAATTGTAGGCTATCCAAATCTACGTCCCACGTGTGCCCGCTTATGTATAATTGGCATCGGGCATAAAACTACGCAGACTATATAGAATTCTTTTTTAGTTTTATTTTCCGTATTTCGGTAAAAAATTGGTAGGTTCGGCAATACTACTTTCAACCTAGAATTCAAATGTTACATTGACCTCAAAAATAAAGTATTTTATTACTAGTTTATTTGAAAGCGAGAAAGTTTTTATTGTCTCCTAAAAAAATCAAATTATGGGGAATAACGAGGTTTTTGCAATTTTTTGTGGCAAACAATTTGAATATGTAGTCGAAATTAACTTTGCAGGCTCATTTGGTAAACGCCTCAAGCGGGAGTAGTCACTGCTTTATGTATAAAATGAAAGGGTTATATAGAAATAGTAAAACAGCAAATATTTTTTCAAAAATATATTTCCTCAATATGAGAAAAAGCATATAAAGGTGTAAAATTATATTTTTTGGTTAATATTCTCTATATGGGATACATTTTCTGGCAATATTACCGTTAGTTTTTTAGACATTAGGTAGGTACGTGTACTATGTGTCATATATAGAAAAACAAAACAAAAATTTAAAGTTTTCTATATATGAGAAATAATATATCTGTAAGCAGGTACAACTTAAGTAGATATGGACTATTGAAATGTATTTATTAAAGCTTGTTGTGTATACCTTTGCACAAAATTAAATAGCGGTGGTGTTAGTGGTAGAATCTCTTTTGTTTCAACTCATTCATTTGTAAAACATTACAACGGTTGTAAAATATGATGTGTATAAATAAGCATACCGTCAGTTTATATGCACCTGTGAAATCTTTTGTTCTTAAGCTATTGTCGGATACAGAAAAGGAAGTAGTGGAACACATCGCACGTCACTATCTTTCTTTTCGATACCAGGGGATAATACATTATCTATGAGATGAAATGATGGAGTTGGCAGAATGAGTATATAATGGTATGACGACTTTTTATGACGTGGTGCTCAAAAGAGTAAATATTTGAGGAATGTATTTTTGGGAAAATACTATCTTGATATATTATGATTGAGGTACCAGAATCACGTATGTATTTCTTTCTATAACAAAATATACCCAACAGTGAATATTCATCTCTATGTAATATAAAATTTCCTAGAATTCAAATTCAAAACTATCACGGGATAAAATCCAATAATGTTATAAATATTAACTATATAACAAAATGTAAATAATTATTGCAGCTAAGTAAAATCTTCGAAGAGGGCTCTCTACCGTTGAGCAAAAAAAAACTCGCCTCTCGAAAAGGCACGAAGAGATCACAGAGAAAATTGTTGTCTAATATCACTTCATGGCAGTCTATTTCTAGGAAGCTCTTTAAAAAATTGCATTCTCATTACTAGATATTTGCAAGTAAGCGTTTGTATCTATACACGGTGTCCCATTTTAAACACCGAAATATATCTAAAATGACGCATTCTACAAAAAAGTTATATGGTTTCAATGGGGCAAAATGATGGTGGCCTTGACAACGAACTTGACGATTTTCAAGGTAAAATGGATATTTTCAAGAGACTGAAACACATGAGGAGACGTTGTAGCAGACCGCAGGTCACGCACAACACATGGCCTACCGAGACGCTGATGAGTCGGGCCACGCGGAGGTTAGGGTTTAGTGGGTATTAGATGGTCTCCTCAAGACAACCTGGAATCCCACACACGCCGTAGCTCGGGCTATGGGAATCCCACACACGCCGTAGCTCGGGCTATGGTATGGTGCATAAACGTATTCCCCCCTCACAAAAAAAACCTAGGTTCGTCTGTTTTGTAAAATTGTCCTTTTTAAATATTTGATTGCACTTTTGTGCGATAAACAAATGTTTAGCTTTAGTCGCGCAAACCGCAAATCCTTTTTAAATTGATAGGAAAAACTAATAGAGGGAAATGGAGTTCTAGAATGACTAAAGCTAATACCTTTGGGAATAGGAAGTTTTGATAGAAGAAGGCAGGGAGCAGATAACATCTGTAATTTTTGTCTCCTAATAAACATTTTCAACCACAATCAGTCAGTTTTTGGCTACTCTGCTCTACAAAAATAATTGAGCCGAAGGAAGAAACATAGACAATCAACAGTTTTCCAAACATGCAGAGTTGGAATTACAAGAAATTGAAAATCTTTTTCCGTTTCAACATTGGTAGTGTCTCATTTAGCAAAGAGCCCTCGTTATTAATAATATCAGTCGTATAAATGTTTATCATTTTCATATTGCTTGGAATGTCCGTTCCTCATTTCATGACTGCCCCTTTTCAACGTCGGAATCTCGTAGTCGTCTGCATACCGCTTCAGTGATTTCACAGTTCCGTTAGTTGGATAGAACCCACTTGTGGGCGAACTATGTTTCTTAGAGATTTTTTCTCTAGTAGGAACTGATATGTACGGATTCTGCTCAGCCGTTATGTAGTGTGGCGAACATGGAACTGTGTTTTTCTTCCTCTTGAAGAAGTAGTATGACAGATAGACTACACTGGGCATTAGACCTACTATGGCACCTATGAAGAAAAAGGAGAGACTCGACGCAACACAGGAAGATTGCTCGAGCTGGCCACCTAGAATTGCTGAAAAGAAATAGAAATATATTACTATACTGAAAAGCGCTCCACTAAGGCACTGAGAATTTTTTTTAAACACTCTGCGGATCAAAATTAGAGCCCCACCACTTTGGAAGTTTTCTTATCCATAAAAATATTCCGGTTACCCAGCTCAATATAGATGACTGTATTTTTTGTGGAAAAAGGTAAGTTTCGTGATAATTTTGCACATCAATTCAACTGACTAATGAAAATTATAGAGAGACGTATACCCTATTTTACGAGTATTCATCACGGTAGAATGACAGCTGATCATCTAGTAATATTTCAAAATTCCCCATATCGGCAAATGACATATAATTCTGACGGATCCGTCAATGCCAGGTAGACAGCGCTATATTCTTTTGTTCTTTTTTGCACGCTACAGATTCATGTTGTACTTGCTAAAAGCTCTTTTATTTAAAAAAGTTCATTTGCATACAAAAAACAAAACGCTAGTTTTACTAGATTTACCCCAGATTCATTATTGCAAACGTCGCAGACTAACTCAAAAATGTCTCTTGCTGATCAGCTGTTCACCTGAGTAGACGTCAAAGCGTGATGGATACTCGTGAAATAGGGTTTAGAACAGCAAGAATAGCCTAGAAGGGGACCTTGATATACACATTTTAATATGAATACATGGTTAATTTGCTTTGTTGGGTTAATTACCCTTCTTCTCTTTGAAATTGGACTTCACCACATGTGACCAGGTTTTGGGCACCAGATTTACGTCTTCAATAATGCCCATTAATTATTACATAACCAAAGTGTAAATCCTCGTTATTTTCATAAACTTGTCTATGGCCGATACTTCATGGGGTAAGCGAAATGCCTTATTGAGAAGTAGCATTTCTCTCCCTAAGTAATAATGGGAACAAAAATATGAAATCTTGTCGAGTAGGCTGTTTCTGTACCTTCCACCCATTGTTTATGCCAAAGAGATATGTTGTAATGCTCGCAAATTATTTACAATGTGCTGTAATTAACTTACGTTCGCAAGAATCACCCTGGCAAGATTGTACTTCAAATTCATCCCCTTCACAACCCTCCCTCAAGCACGATCGGCGTCTAGTACGAGTCCCCCATCCGCACGTAGCGTTGCAAGGACTCCAGTCTGACCAACAGCCCCAAATCCAAGAACTTCCACAGTCATGAACGTTACACTCGCGCGTCTGCAATGATTCACCCTCGCAGTTACGTTTCTCGCAGTCTCTAGTTCTGGTTTGGATGCCTCCACCACAGGATGCTGAGCATTCGCTCCATCTGGACCACGCTCCCCAGTCTGAATGTTCTGGAAAAAATAAGATGTGGTTATGAAGTGTAGTAAGAGTTTTATCGTAATTTGATTCTCCAAGGTGGCTCACTCCTATAACTTTTTTATTATTGAAGATAGAAAACCGAGATTTGGGGGTTGCGTATTATAGATGAATCTATATTTTTTGACATATTCACTTTCTTTGACATACTGCTGGTTTGGCAGGAAACGACCCGAACTTTCGGATTTTAAATGGGACACCCTACATATTTTTACTTATTTCGATCAAGAATTGCATTCTGAAGTCAACAGCGCCCCACTTGTCAATATTTGACAAATAAACTCATTTTTATTTTTCGATCTAGAATGCCATGGATCCTACAAATCGCTTCATAAACATTGTAAAAAACACAAATGTTGATATAAACTAATAAACACCTCTATGAAAAATTGCTTCGCTTTTCTGTTAGATGGCGCCAAATTTTTCTTTTCTAAAACTATACTGAACAACCGCTTCCAAGATTACCGGACTAAAATAAAATCCACACACAGACAGACAAGGTCAAAAAGATACGGTTCCATGTAGAAGTTGACCTCTGAACGACCTTCAAAATTTTTTTGTTTGAGCGGGAAGTCTGGAAACTTTTTTAACGTACAAAAAACTGAATACACGAATTACTTACCAATCGGCTCTTCCGAATCACACTGATGTCCGTAGCAGAACTGCGTCTCATTGCGCACAATCAGTTTCAGCTGATCATGCCTCACTGGTGCCTTACAGGTTACTTTGAACCTCCTCCTGAGGTAAACCTTAGAAGATGCGTTTTTGATTACAACCCAATCAGTTGTGTGCAATCGCCTCTGCTCTGGACAAGAATCATTCCTGCACACGTTGTACTCTATGTCATTGCCTGCAAAAAATAGCGTCAAGAAGTCTGACTCTGTATTTCTCATCCAATTAGGAAGTTTCCTATAATCGGAAAAAATGGTAGTTGCTACTTGCATATAATAATATAACTGATATCTTTGACAAATCTGAAAAAAATATTCCGATAATAGCGGCAGCTGCTGGTAAAAAGCTAGCGTATTTGTTTACATTGAATAAGGCCCAGATTAGACCTAGCCTCGAGTACTGATCACACAGCTACCTCATTGGGCTTTGCTCCCAGAACTGACCGATACGACCGCTCCTTTGTCCCTAGGGTGTCGTCATTCGGTAGAAAAAATGCTGGAGCACTGAACTTACCTTTACAATACTGCCCCCCATTAAGGGGCGCTGGATTGTTGCATTTCCTTTGACGGATTGCGTATCCTTCACCGCAATTTGTACTGCAAGATGACCAAGGAGACCAAGGACTCCATCCTCCATCGACTGCTTCAGCTGGACAAGGGGGATGTTCTGTGCAGAATGCTTCTAACCTATCTTGACCCACACATACCCGTCCTGGATGAATGAATAATTTGTTATAGCAGGGTTAAATTGGATATGTTTGCTTTCCGATGACAACCGTTTTATGCTTGTTAGCAATGATCAGTACATCTTGGAGATCGACAATGGAAAGCAAACAAGCGTAATGTGCAGAAAGTCCCCAACGCATTGTGGCAAAACTGATGGTCCCAAAAGTGCTTACTGACGACGAGAAATTGCGGCGAGTGGAAGTGGAAAGGAAGTGGAAGGCTATTCCGGAGAATGCCTTCCGTGACGCCTTCAATGCTTGGAAATCGCGCTGGCAGCGCTGCATCGACGCAGAAGGAGCCTATTTTGAAAGTTTTTAAAGAATTGTAACGATTGGGTCAATAAATTTTTTTAAATCGACTCAGTCCTATCACTTTCCGGACAAACCCTGTATATTGCACAGTGTGGGTACCAAATCAATACACTATACTAGAATTTTAAGAACTGAGACACAGACCTCTCGAGCGTTCCTCATCCCCAACATTTTATTAGCCGACGACCGCACAAGACATTATTTCTATGATGTGTACATTATTGTTGGAAATAAGTTTTGTAAGTAAAACTAGGTTCCAAAAAAGGTATAGTTTTTTATAATCGAATTCCTAATTTGAAATTATTTATACACTCCTCGTGATTTGAAAGGCCATATAAGTCATTTGTTTGAGAAGATTTGCACGAACTGTCATTTGTGTCAGTATCCTTAGAAACAAAAAGTTATAACGATATTTATGCGCAATTGTAGGTAATTCAGCAAAAAAACGAAAAACGATCATATCTCGGTAACCGTAGCCCTTAGAGCATTGCGTTTCCATCAAAAATCATCAACTGGCGTCCCCAATTGGCCAAAAAATTCTGGACAGAAAACTCATATTTGATCAAAGAGGATTCCTAAATCGTCGATTTGCTCTTGACGCTTAAGGCTAACGTTTCCAATCCAATATTCAAAAATTAAAATATGTTTTCTTATGAAGCACCTGTCAGCATTTAAGTTGAGATGATTAACTTGGGCCCATGAAGATATTTTCAAGACAAGGCAGTCATCGACAGTTGTTACTGAGAAATATAGTTTCAAGTCGTATGAATACAATAATTTTGTACAGTGCAAGTCAAGAGTTAGATCGTTTATGAATAACAGAAAGAGTAAAGGTCCTAGATTTGAGCCTTGGGGCTCCTAGATAAAAGCTTGTTTTTCAAAATGTATTTTTTCATTTTATTTATTCAAACATATGTTGGGATATTTTATATTTTTTCAACTCGGATGTTTTAGCCACTCTGAACAGAAAAGGTCTCTAGTAACTTTTCTCCAAATTTAAATGTGTTCGAGTTATAAGTGATTTGATGTCTGAAAACCACAAAAATGGGTATATTCGTTGACTGAAAACTCGGTTCAAAATTGGAATTCTTGAGAACTTAATTAAAGTTAGAACCTTTATAGACCTTTAAGAGTATTTTACGATTAGTTTATTTTGAAGCGATTTTTAACCTTGTTTGTATGGCCAAGTTGTCGAACTTTTGATTTTCGCAGACTGTACATCTTCCTAGCTTTAAAAACTCGCACTTTACCTCCGAACGCTGGAGCTGGATTGGTGCATGTCCTCAAACGTATTTTGACAGCGGTGCCGCAAGTAGCAGAACAGGCTGACCAACCAGACCAGTCAGACCAACCTCCATGAACCGTGCAGTTGGTCACCGCGATCGATGGGCCGGAACACTCCCTACCTCCGTTTGAAGGTTGAGGGTTGTTGCATTGCCGTGTTTGGCACAAGCACTGGTCGAACGAGTCTGAATTGGCCCAAGTTTTATGATGACAGGGTGACCACTCAGACCAAGTGCTCCAACCTAAACAAAATGTGACGGAATACGTTTAATAATAACACAGCTCCACCACGAAAAATAAATGTGGAGATCCATGAAACGGTCAAAATCACGAAAGATGACCTTAAATTGTACTGAAGTAATCAATGGACGTATGTCGATGATAATATCACGAAGTCAGGAACATATATTATGACAATTATATTATGATTTTGTGAAGTTAGGTTATTTCACTGATTATTTTTATTTTCATTTTATTTCATGGTTTTAATAATAATTTTAGTGGGAAGTTTTTGTTTTGAAAAAAACAGTTATGAGTAGAATACACCCTTAGACAGGAACACCAAAGACCAAAGGATCATTCGAAAACAACCTAACCTGCTTTAACATAACCTAACTATTCATCTTTCAAATATGATCGATCATGCAACATGAAAACATCATCTATCTTTGTCGGATCCATGCAAATTAACAATACAGTTTGTTTAGACAATAAAATTATATTGTTATATATTATAAACATATCTGAAACTTCATTAAAAGTATAGACAAATCGCTGTCGTTTGTCTTTCCTACAGACTAAAATGATGACGTAATCGCGTACAGAGATTCCAACAACAAACGCCAAGGTCACATGCGCTTGGATTTTCGGTCTGTACGCGGCTTTATGGAAATAACAGAGGTGCAGAGATCTTTTCGAATTTGGCAGTGAAAAATACCATGATTCACCATCTGGCATACGAAACTCAATTTTCACGTCTTCTAGGGTTAGTTTTTGGACCCATGGGGAATTCTAGACATATATGAACTTTTCTGATCCCAGATTCGGATTTAGTGTCGAAAAATATTCAGGAATATCATGGTATGTTTCACGGATTTTGACCTTTATGTTTTTGTGGGGCTGTGTAATTAGAGAGGCGTCCAACAAGGGATTGAAGATCCTAGCGCCATCTATGATGAGATAGTAGCAGAAGTAGATTCCTAAATTCATTTTTGGGTCTTGCTACTGTCTCATATGGTTAGCTACTTTATTGGAAAACTGAATCCAATATAAACCTAACCAATATAAATTACTCACCGCCGTCAATTGGTGAATCCAAAATGGGACAAGAATTGATATGCTGTATCCAAAATCTATTGTGTGGATCCCCGAAAGGAGCTACGGAACAACTTTCCTCGCGTTCATTCCAACCACAATATGGATCCATGGCGTTTTTGCAATTAGCTCTCGAGGTGTGTCTTTTGCAATGCGCTGAAGGTATCTGTATAAGTCCATCGTTAGTTGTGATATACACAGAACTAGTTTCTTTGAGGAACTTCATATTGAATATGGAGGTAGCTACTTGCCATACCTCAACAACACACGCCTTTTTATGTTTGCCGTGTAAGGGTAGCAACGAAAGCTTTTTCACAAGACCTTCAGTTGTGGCTACATACAGAATATGCACTGAATCTTTCTTCGTGTCAACCACATCCACAGTGATATGAGTAAACCGTTCCAACGTTGAAGTATACAACGGATCGAGTGATGTGGATTGCACTGCTGAATCCATCAGTTGATACTTTGAAGTCTCTAGTAAATGATTGTTGCGTAACGATGACATGCAGTTGTAGTGTCCTAAATGCACATTGTCATGTTTGACCCAAGCGCTGTTCATATCATGCTGGTATTTGAAAGGGCCGTTAAATGCCTCGTCGATAGCAGACAGATGGAATGAGCATACTGCTGAGCCGGCTATCCCATTTGGTGATGTAGTAAATGTAGCGTACATAGTCTGTTCTGTTGCAACATATGACATACTCTGTATTTCGTTGAAGTAGAACGGGTATTCCCCGCTTGTTGAGCAGTTCAATCTGGCCTTGAGGAACGTTGTCCAGTTGTCTTTGAAGATAGCGTGGATTCCTCCATAGTCGTTTTTGCAAACCCGCGCTACTCTCGAGTAGATTGTCTTGCCACAATTCATGTGTTCCACAGCAGTCTCGCGAAACAAAAAGTATACAAACTTTTCGCTTTCGAAAGACCCAATAAATTGTGGTTCATTCAACCAAAAACTATTGTACTGTTTTGTTCTGAGTGTCATGTTTCTAGCAGTCTTTGAGATCAATGAATCAGACCCTGAAAAATCCGTCGGTCCACCAAAGTAATATTCTCCATTCTCCGATAGAAATGCTGTGATATTTGCGGTTGGGTTGTATGAACTTTTAGCAATGCCATCCACAACTTCTATCACATTTGATATGTTATTAATCTGGAAAAATATTGGGATAAATGTGATGTCTCATGATCGTACGAAAATTCGGTATTTTCCCCAAAATGCCTCATTTTACCCATATTAAAAACAAAGGCACCAAGTACGTTGATTCTACTCTTCCCACGCAACGCTGTAATCAGTTCATAAAGAATAATTATCTTCGGCACAAGCTAGACGCTCCATTCAGTCAGTCGAACAAGCCCAAACTCTCAAATGACCACGCAAATCTCTTTTAATTCATAGACATCTTGTCCCAGCACCACCGATAGTACCGTCCACTCGCCGGACTCGGCAGCAGCGTCGCGAGAAATTATCGTATGAACATGGAGATATTATCGTACATTACAATACAAAGTGTCATAGGTCTCAGGATTCATGTTCAGTCAGGAGATTTTCGTCTCGGGGGGAGGGGGTAACCTTTTGAAGAGCGAGAGGTAACATATTTTTTCAGGGAGCCACATCCTGAAGTGCCCCTAAATCTTGCTCAACTTTGTTTGATGGCAGCGTTGCATAGGAAATGCAGAGTCAGCCTACTTGATGCCATAAACATAAAATAGTTCTTGAAATTACAGGTTCAATAAGCATTTAATCAAAACTATTGATTGTGTTACAAATATAGTACAAATTAAAAAGTATATCTATACTGAGTGACAGAAAAAGGTAAACACCTACGTATATTTATCCGATTTTAATAATTTTTTGCATATGTATATGTTCAGTGCCCCTTACTAGCAAAATAATTAAATTTTCAACTTGATTCGTCAACTGTGAAAGTGACCCCCAATTTTCGAATAACGTAATCACAGGTGACGAGTCGTGGATCTTTGAGTATGATCCCGAGACAAAGAGGCAATTTTCCGAGTGGCACACGACGGCGTCTCCTCGCCCAAAAAAGGGAAGAATGAGCAAATCCAAAGGGAAAACGATGCTCATTGTCTTTTTTGACATCAAAGGCATCGTCCACCATGAATTGGTTCCTCCTGGACAAACCGTCAACGCCAAGTTTTACGTGGAAGTGCTCAGGAGACTCAAACGAAGGGTCAGTCGGGTTCGGCAAGACATCGCAGCCGACTGGATGTTGCACCACGACAACGCCCTGGCACACACCGCCTTTCTTGTGAACAGCTGCCTTCCGTGACGCCTTCAATGCTTGGAAATCTCGCAGGCAGCGCTGAATCGACGCACAAGGAGCCTATTTTGAAAGTGTTTAAAGAATTGTAACGATTGGCACAATAATTTTTTTAAATGGACTCAGTCCTATTACTTTCCGGACAAACCCTGTACACTCATTGACACGGCTGGGCATCGTGCTGATAAGGTGGTCGATATCCTGTTGGAGTATCTCATTCCAGGCTACTACAACTTTGTGTGTAAGAGCTGTTAAGTTATACGAAATTTAACATTTAGCTGACACCGTAAATGTACGAAAAACAAATGCTTTATCACGAAACAATAGATACAATAAGCCGCGACCACAAATGCTTAACAGAAAAACCTGTCCATTTTATCACTTGTTGTTCATGGTATTCGTAGAAGTTTCCATTTTGTTGTCACTCAGTATACTTTTACTTTATTTTCCACAGCACTATGATTCAAACTTGGTAATTGTTGTATGTTAGAAAAATGCCTTACCTCTCTCCACGAGCATACCGGCGAAAAGGCATTTGTCCCACAAACAAAAATGTGCCATCGGTTACTTAAAAGTACTTTGATATAGTTATGACAGCTTTCTTCGTTCTGACCTTTATAGGTGCATTCAATCTTTTTGTTTTCCGGGGACTGCCAATCTGCATATTCCAAAAACTTCAACCCCGATAGAGATAGTCTGTACAATCCATCCCTGAAAAAAATCGTCGGTGAGAACTGGCCGATACGACCTCTCCTTTGTCTCTCGGGTATCAAAATTGTGGAACAATCTACCTGAGGAGCAGCCGGCGTGTCCTGGTATTTAGGCTTCTGCCTAAGCGGCTGCTTTGTTATAAAAAAATGGTTGCTCAGTTCGCCGATTCACAGATTGAGTATTTATAAAATGTCTTACCTTACGCTTAAAAAGAGCTGGTTTCTCGACACATCGAATAAAATTTGTGAGTACGATGTATTTCCTTCAGCAGAAAAAATAGTAATAGATGATTTGAGATCTGAAAACAATAGATAATGGTCTCGAACATCCCTAACAAATTAATAGGTACAGGTAATTCTAATAGGAATGATATGTTTTCGAAGTCGGATTCAACATAGCCTCCAAATTTAAGGGCTCAATACTCCATACATAATCGATTTTATCCAAACCAGTCAATATTATATTCACGCATATCTGTTAGTAAATTGTCACTCTCAAAATTTGCGTCTAGCTTTCGTAAAACATAGGACTTTAAAATGATGTATAAAATATCTCTGATGAAACTTTGTAATTAAAATATTTCTGGGTTGAACCCAGTGAACATAGTGGCGTCATAATGACTGCATTTTTAAACAAAAATGACGTCATTATGACATTATGTCACAACCAATTCACGTCATTAGATGACGTCATAGTATGCCATGTAAAAGACCAAATACTAAGTCGAGATGACGTATGTATGACGTACAGTCGCTCGCAAAAATAATCGCGCGATGTATCCAAGTGCTCCTGAAAAATTGAGGATGTGTCAACACCGCCCCACAAGCAGTGAGTTTAGGAGTGGTAGAAAGGCGCCGAAACTCATATTCTACTGTCCTACCTCTCTTGAACGCTCGCGTTACGAGACATCGCATTTCAGGAGGTCAGGAGCATTTGTACAAAGTATATCGAAACGGTTAGTAAAGAACTAAAAAACACCGTTTGATCTAAGACACGTTCCAGTCCTCCGATGGTTCAGAATTGGTTTGTAGCAAATATCAAAAACGCTTTGCTTTTATACAGGAGGCCAAAATACTTCTTGCTTCCTAGACGTCATCCAAGCCTTATTGACTATGTGGCAGTACTGACGTCCCTACTAAAAACAATAAAGTAGTTATTAGTATTTGGATATCTATATAGTTTACCTTACTGTTAATTGAAGATCTTCTTTGTAGGTATGGTGTTGATTTTTATGACTGACTGTTCTAAAAAAGACGTCAAATGGCGCCAATAAAGACGTCATCTTTTAGTCTTGGTCAATTACGTTTCTGACCAAAAGAGACCGAATAATGACGTCATTTTGGTGTCGCTATGTTCACTGGGAATTTTTGGTGTTTCATTTACATTAAGAAACACATCATTCTTATTGGGAATTCCAATGTAATTCCTTACCTTGGGATGAGATGAATCTGAAGTCATTTTGAAGGATATTAGAGCAGCTACATACTAGGAATAATAAAATATATATACTACAGGCTGGCAGTCCATTTGATAACATTCTTGCATTTTCTGGAACAATATCAAATAGGTGATGTCATAGAAACATCAACAATTCCTTTTCAGAAGTCATGATACAACGTTTTCCTTTAAACATCTGCGACTATTATTGTAATGAGTAACCAATAATCTCAAACAGTTGAATGCTTTATCCAGCGGGTAAATGAGTAAAACGTTCTTTAACGCTGACACATTGTTATCAAGAGACTTTGTCACCTTACTAAAATGCACTTAATGCAGCGTCATATTGATAAATGAAAGCCCATTATATTGTAGGAATGACACTTTACTAACGCTTCGACAACCTCGGTGGCCTTGTTCAAAAGACAAATTAAAAATAACATTGCGAACATATATTATATGTATAAATAAACTTCCAACCCCGGTAACATCACAGCATCTTTGGTAGTGTATCCAAGGGTCGTAAAAGCAGGTAGGTGACCGTCTGTACGATGTTGGCGCGATATTATCTGTATATACGAGCATTATGTTGTATGTATAAAATACAAGTACGTATCAAGAGCTATTATAGTCAGTTATCAAACATTATTGACAAAACAGTTATACGCCAGAGCTCGAAAGGAATGAGATTACCGTGTACGGACACGTTCATTGCTGTTTTTTTCATGAAAAGCCAACATCTACGTTTTTTCACGCTATTGTGAAAAATGTACTAGAAGTTGTTTCGAAGTGGGAAGTATCGAGTCTATCTACTTGACGCCATTTTTTAAATATAACAATTTTTATAATACATCACTTATCTTAAATGGATGGAATCAAATTCTATCTACGGATTCTGGTACATATTCTGTATTTGAAGTTGAAGATAAGACCATATGAAAATATTATATAAGATATATATTTTCTGGAATCACAGTGTTCATGTTATTTCTCAATTCAGTTGAAATTTAAGTGGGTAATGTATATTTATGTTTACATTTTATAGCCAGCATATCTACACAAATCAACATGATAAGGCTTCTAGATTTGAAGTGAAACGTACAACGCACTTGTAACTAAATACACCTGCTTTATTTATTTACTTTCAGAAGCGATATCAAAATTACGTTGGGAAACATTGTGTTCAAATATTCGTTTCGAATTTAACTTTCAAGCTTGGATACTTGGATAACTGATTTCGGGTAGAACTACTCTTAAAAATCTTTGCAGTGACAGCAGAAAGAAACATGTACAATTTAAAAATGGCGTCAAGTATATTGACTTTATACCTACAATGCATACGAAACAGCTTCACGCACAATTTTCTAAGTAGTACAATGAAACAGACGTAGGTTTTGTCAGAACCATTAGCGCATTATTTGGGCTTTGAGCAATGAGCAGTAGCTTTTTTTAAACATTAAATACATTTTTCAGCTCTTGTCTCCAGTAATTTGGAATTCGGCTTTGCATTTGCACTACTTGAGCTTTTCAAGAGAAAGAGATTTTTCAGATTGCGGGATTGAGAGTGTTCATACACGGTAGCTGTTTGTGAAAAATGTTTGATAACTTATTATAATAGCTTTTGATATGCACTCATATTCTATACTGTACAATATTACCTCACGAAATCAAGTAACCTCATTAAATTACACCCCAATATAAATATCACGCACACCTTGCATGTGCATATCGCCTTACCTGCTGCCTGCAAGTCCCTCGGATCCTCTACCAAAGATGCAATATTCACAACTCCGTGGCGCACAGCAAGTGCGACCGATAGGTTCGCGATCCATCGGCTAAAAATATTATTCTGTTTGGTGATTAAATAGGTCTAATAGGTACGTAGAATTGCCGGGGCTGGAGGTTTATTAATAACTAACATCAAAAAATTGCGATACACCCTCCACCCTGCCCCCCTCAATTTTTAACCTCTGAAAATTTTCCAAATCCATTCTCTGTAACCTCAAATAACGGAATTTGCGCGATTTTTATTTTTTAGATTTTGGTATTTTTCTCCGGTCAAATTTTAATCACATACACAAAAATTTGAGCCTCGCGGAATTTATCTTGAATACCTACCTCAGGAAGCTGTAAAAATGCGAAAAAGTTCTGAAAATTATTTAACGTGTTGTTTGTGAGCAAACTTTTTTACTTTTACTAAAAACTCCGGCACCACTGTACCGATTTCCAAAAATAAAGCGACATAACTTGAAGGAAATGAGTGAGAGATGTTCGTGATGTATACGTTATGAAACATCGAAAAAAATATTAACTGAAATTCGAAGACTTTCGCGATCACATTGCTTTTCAAATATTTCTTATTAAGTGTCCAATTGTTCGCAGGATGATTCCTTAGACTTTCGTTTTCAAGATGAAGTTATAATTACGAAATCGTAAAAAAATTATATGGTTCTGTGAATTAAGGTATTGACTGAAACTTTGATACTAACAGCATAACCAATAAAAAAATGTTCGCATCTTAAATTACGCCAGCTAAGAAATTTTGACCGTTACGAAAGGAAAGGTAAAGTTATTTTCTACTGCACTGATTTTTTGAAATCAGACTGGCGTAAATAGTAGCAGTCTTTGATTAATTCATTATAAGCTCAAATGGTATTGAAAGATATAAAATATGTATACCCATATGTATGCGAAAAAGGGACGATCTTATAGAAGAACATTTCAGCTAAGAACAGATTTTGTGGCGGGGTCGGATGGAGGGATTAAAGGGCACTTGCAAGTTTGTTCGAAATTGCTCGGAGTTTCCTAATATTTTTTAAAATTGGCAACGACGATATTTCATTAAATTGGTTATATTACTCGTATTAATTTGTTAGCTTTCCACGGACCGTGGTTCTATCCCCGCAGGTTAATAAGATAACCATATTCTCAAAAACAATGTTACATTTTAGTAACAATTTAACGCTTACGGAGTCGCGGGTGACAGCTAGTAGGTGTAATAGTATAATCATAATTGAAAGCTTAGCCAGTTTTTGGTGCTCATATATAGTTCAATATACGAAGCGCTCGTTAGGGTAGTTGAAAAGTGGCCCTATATCAGCATTTGTAGTAGGAAAATTGCATATAACAAACAGATGTGATTAAAAGAATTTTTATAGAGCAACGCGGTTCGCCTACATATCAACTCGGTTACGAAAATGATATTTAATAGAATCACGAATGTGACAAAACCGGATAGAAAACTGTACATAAAAAGAAAAATCACATTGAAGAGTTTCTAACGCCATATATGAGCAATCTTGAATACTTGACGAAGACATAAAATAAAGTGAATGAACTTACAAGTGTTATTTTTTATCAGCAGCATTGTTGCTGTTTATTCTTCGGGTAGACAACATATATTCATAAATATGCTACGGAATTTGAACATACTATATAACCTAGGCATCTCAACCACAGTTGGCGCACTTTTAACCAAAATGTATCACAAAAAGGTTCAAAACACAACGAAAACTCTGACAGATGTTCGGCACGAAGGACCAGTGGATGACCTTGAGAGGTTGTTAGGTAAATAAACAGGCTACGCGATGCCTTCTCAATAAAGGCGTGACTATAGCGTTATGCCACTATACTTACTAACCAACTGGCGGAAATTATTTACAAGCTTTTTACGCCGTGGGATATAAGCAAGTGCGCAAGCTCAAAATCCAACAAGTTGTTTCGACGCCATGTTGGTCTGTAACGTCACAGAGTACCACAGTACTACGTAACAGAAAGCTTTACCACGCGGAACCGCCTGCGTCAGAGCAGTTCAATATACCTATTATACCTATTACGCTCAAGATGGCAGCATAAGCAACGCATTTTTAAAATTTCTAATGGTCATTTTTTAATAATTAGGATGCTTGCAGATATTTCAAAAATGGCTTTCTGGACTAAATAGGCTAAGTTGAGCTCACATTCCTGACTGACCAATTTTTTACCCTTCTGTAATGGTTACTGAAAATTAAAATGTTCTCTTCCACCACTTGCGAGCTTGCCAAGCTCTTTGCTGCCAACTCCAGCTTCGACGCCCCCCAATGTCCAAATGTCGTCGTTTCAAAGGGCTAGGCTAGGCTATTTGTTTAGGGCTAAGAAAAACTTTTCTCCGCATGACCTTCGCACTCTATACAATTTAAGTTTTGCATATGGAAATGAAACAACACCGTAGGTAGTTTTAAACGACTTTATTTTTTTTCGAAGTATTCTCCACGAAGATTGATACATATCTGCATGCGCTCGAACCAATTTTCGAAGCACTTATTCCACTCGTTTGCTGGCACCGTCAAGCGTTTTTTGACACCAATTAACCCTGGCTGCTTTTTGCTCTTCAGTCAATAGGTGGGGTATCCAACGAGAAACTAATTTTCTTACTCCTAATTCGTAATGTGAATTTTTTTGAATTGAGGTTTTTGAGATCTTCAAGGACGCCTCAATCTCGCGATATGTCACATGTCTATCTTCAATGATGAGTTTGCGCACAGCATCGACGTTTTCCTGGGTGACTGCTGTTTTTGGTGCACCCACCCTGGAATCGTCGCTAAGACTCACCCTACCTCGTTTGAATTCTCCATACCAACGGGAAATTGTCGACTGATGTGGCGCTTCGTTGCCGGAAACAAATAGTAACTCAGCAAGGCATTCTTGTTGCGATAATTGTCTCTGAAAGTTGTAATAAATTATGGCGCGAAAATGTTCTCGGTTGAGTTCCATTTTTCTAATGACTTGGTGACACTTAAAAATTCACTGTAGTGAGAACACGTATTGTTGTGAAAAGGTTTCAGCCACAAAAGCACGAAATTTTTAATTCGGTTTGATTACCTTGTTTTTAATTTCATCAAAAAATGCATAATGAATATGATTTATAAAAATGGGTTACTGTGGTTTATTTTAGGTAGTAAATAGAACCCCTTTCCCTATACTATATGTAAAAAATCAGCTTTTAAAGAAAAGCAAAAATTATCGGGTTTTATCGAAAAAAAAAAACACTTTTTTATTGATAATATCCATAACTTTGGTTATGACTTAGCAATGCATTTTGCTGTCTAGAATTACAATTTTGAGTGAGCACAGAGAATAGCTTGGTCCCTCTTCCTTCTATCTAGAGCAAATAAAATTAATAACTTAGTGCTGCTGAAATAAAAAGGTGCCATCAGTACAAAATATGTTAATGCACTGATAACACAATGGATTGAAAAAAAAAAATGTGTGGTCTTTCTTAATAACTTAATAAAATGATACAAGACTGCAGTTATCAGAAAATAATTTATTTTCTTTCATAGAAAACATAACAAACTTCATAGTTAAAATACAAACTCACTGTGTCATATCAATACACTAACTACTCTAATAGTTTTGCTTTCGAAGCAACAGCAAAGTATGCCACACAGAGAGACACGACAGTAGCAATGAATTCAGACTTCAGCCAAGGTCCAGAGAAGGCTCCTGGATGATTCACCAGGACAGTGAACAGTTCTGGAACTGTGGAAGGACATTCTCCTGCACGCAAAACTTTGCGATAGGCAGCAAAGCCATCTTCGTTGAAAATTCTCACTTTTCTTTCTCCACTTTGAGCAGTCTTAGGATCTTCAATCCAGCTTACCTGTAAATGGAATGATCATGGTTATCTTTTCATCTCTAAAATCATTTGACCATTAAGGCAGGATTTGCAGGGTGATGAAGTTAGAAAACACTTAAATATGGTGGCCCAACACATTATTAGAGAAATTCAAAGATACAGCAAACGTTGTCATTCCAAAACGTTATGATGACTTCATTTTGCTTTTGTCTAGTTGTATATATATATATATATATTCACCTAACTGATCTAGACAACAATGACCACGTCTCAAGTTATATATATATCTATGATCTTGAAATGTGCCAATGAGCATGAAATTTCAGACAATTTTAAAATGACATAACTGTTCATTTCTAAACTTTTAAGCATATTGCTGAACTTTTGATTCTAGACTTACCTGGTATTTGTTGGTTCCAACAACTGAAGCTGGTACAATATTGTTGTCAACCTCCGCGTACAGGCTTCCAACGTTACCAGAACTGCATTTAACGGTGAATTCTGATATGTAGCCGATTTTACTCACTATCGTGGCATCTTGGGTTGTGAAGGAAGTTGACGATACTTCCAAGTTTGAACAACTTGAGCAAAATCCACTTGAAACGAAAATGCTGAATAAAACTAGACTTACGATCTTTGCCATTTTAATTTATGGAGTTAGTTATAACGTATCAAGTTCAAATACGTATAATCTTGTAGACTACACGCACACGGAGTTATCAAAAGTTTACAGAGATTAATTCAAACTTCACAAACTGGAATATGGCATAGCGCGTGGCAGGCGGCTAAGTCATGTGACGTGTCATGTCATCCTATGTGGTTTGCATTTGCAGGTAGAGATGGCAATTTTTTGAGAAACATCGATGGAGCTCGATACATCGGAACAAATACATCGACGTATCGAAGCAACCTCTTTTAAACGTTTTCTGCTTTCAATTCAGCAACGAATTCATCGATTGCTATCGGTTTTAGCGGAATGGTCATTTTATCAGTTGGTGGAATTACCACCGCGTTTTTCCTCGATTTCAGAACCATTAAGTAAGAATAAAAAACGTGACAGCAACTCACGACAGGATAAAAGAAGGATGCTGACTGCAATATATTACAGTAAAAAAGTATGATTATACGAAACTGCAAGATGACGTTGACGAGTGTCTTTTAAAGTACTTCCGCACATCACTTTTTCGTGGCATTTCGGCTAATTACCAATAAAACAGCGACACGACAACTACATATAATAAAGTCATTAAATGAGTAAATGCGCTGTTTTTAGTTTATTTTATTCTATCCCTTGGAGAAGTACAGAAAAAAGAAAAGACTACAGTCCATTCACGTCTGTAATGATAATATTGAGATACTACCGACTAAACAGCTTTCTGACCTTTCAATTTCGAAGCTATCGGTCCTCGCTTAGAGATGGTAGCACAGTTAAGGATATAATCGGGGTATATCGATGTTTACGATCCTTTCGATGTCGATACATCGTCATTAAACCATCGATGTTCTACGTCCGATGTATCGTTGCCATCCCTAGGCAAAGTGTTATGCGCCATCTCTTGAGTATAAGCACAACACATGTATACTGAGTAAAAGTGTAAATAGAGCTTTTCATTTCTTATCTACAAAACTAACTTCAGGAAGACACTGATAGGCAATAGGTGTCGCACAACTTTTGCCAGCCAAAAGACGTCAGAATTTCTTTTCGGTCTGCATGGGCAACCAAATTTGAACGATTTAAATAAAACTCTCACAGAAGTGTAGACAGAAAACTGGTAAACGGTAAATCAAAGGTCAGTGTGAATCTTGTGAAGAAATATTGTCGCCTTACGTGCTAATATATACCAGTAGAAATATATTTAGTGGTGAGGGCAAAGGTTAACAAAATGTCCTTGAGGAATACAAGCTGATATTGGTTGTTTTGCTGGGTTGGCATATTTCGTGAAGCGTCAAATAGTCTTTTTTCTTTTCTCAGACAGTACAAGACGGTTCGAATGAAAAATGGCCCCTTTAGCTGCACATAAAGAAGCACCAATACCAGAAAGTGCTAAACCTTCAGATGGTATAAAAGCAGTACTGCTGGGTCCTCCGGGATCCGGAAAGGGTACACAGGTATGTAACCTAACCAAATTTCTTGAATAATGTCTCGATATGATTATACTGCCGGTAACAATTTTGCATGTTTGGGCTTACAGCATTTTTCATTCAAAATGCTCATTTCAAAATTAATTCTAGTAGCAAACATGATTCTTTGGGTATTTTTAAGACAAGAAGTTCCTATAAATTGCTGCAAGGCTTTCGTTTTCAAGATATAATTGTGTTGTTAATTTCTACACTACTGAAAAGATAAAACTTTACCTACATCAGCTATTTTCAAAGGACAAGGGTTTGAAGTTTTTTAGAAAGGCATTCAAAAATGGGTAGATGTTTCATAAAAGTCAGTGGTGTAGAAAATTATCAGTAATGGATTTTAAAAAAAGCAATTTTGGTAAACAACTTTATTTGTTGTTTGTAAAGCAAATGTATAGGTTTATGGCAAGCTACTACTATGGTCTGAGCTCCATTAGTCCTCTGCAAAAGATTAGATTTGCATTTCCTGGGCATTTCAGAAACTACCAAGTAATAATAAATTACACAAGCAGAAAGCTATGACTAATCTAAATACAATTTAATTACAATAGCATGCAAAGCATACAACTAACTTGATAACAATTTATTTACAGAGTGTTCCTAAATTAAACCAATAAATCAAAACTAATTTTTTATTTATTGATCAAGAATTTTAATGAATGTTGAAGAAACTAGTAACCAATAAGCAACATCCAGACTCTCCTATTTACAATATCAGTAGGAATGGAAGTTTCTTCATAGATTACCAAAAGAATGACCCCTTGAAGCTTGGCCAACACCCTGTATATGCTGTAGCAGAATTCTTCATATACCCCGGTGAATTTAATCACAAAAATTTCTACAGGCTCCACTTTTGAAGGACAGATACTGTGTATGCCATCTTTCAACTGGGGATATGCTTCGTGCTGAGGTACAGTCTGGTTCACCGCTTGGAAAGAAGCTTAAGCAAGTCATGGATGAAGGGAAGTTGGTCAGTGATGATCTTGTTGTCAACATGATTGACAAGAACTTGGACAAGCCTGAATGTAAAAATGGATTCCTACTTGATGGCTTTCCAAGGACTGTGGTCCAGGCTGAAAAGGTATGTATCATACAATCGCGCATCTGTTGCAAAATTTCAAAAGCGGTCTATGATTTTGGCGACGATTTGTTTTCTGGTTAAATTGGGTTCATAAATTCTGAATTTGGTGCTGGGGTCTGCGGGTGGTCCCAAACCAGTCATGAGTGTAAAGTTTGTAAAACATCGAAAAACAAAGTTGTTTTCTTTTCCGTATATCGTATACCTTTTTGGTGTTCTAGACGTCGGAATTTTTTCAAATCTGACATGACCCATGTAATTCCTTTATTGTAATTCTTCATGGCCATCTTTTTTTCTAATTAGTCTAATCATATTAGCAAATTTCCCCGAAATAATTACAAGTTGATCAAGGGGGTATTTAAAACATGGACGCATAAAACGGGTACACCAATTTTTGTGGGAAAACTTTTTATTTGACAACAAAGAATGAGAAAACGTGTTTTTTGGGATTCAATCGCAAGTGTTGACAGGAACGAAAAAACTTTTCATATAAGATTTTTAGGTATTTATGAGAGCACACGTGAAAAAACTATCGTCGCATCACCAACAAGTGCCAAAACCTGCAGTTTGCCTCGGTTTTCGGCCATAACTTTTTTGCTATAAGTCAGATCTTTTTACGTGTGGTCTCATCTTGTAGGTTTCATACATACCCAAAAATCTTATATGAAGAGTTTTTTCGTTTGAATCCAAAAAACACGTTTTCTCTTTCTTTGTTGTCGAACAAAAAGTTTTCTCACAAAAATTGGTGTACCAATTTTATGCGTGCATGTTTTAAATAACAACTTGTATCAATAAAATCAGACTTTGCAATTATTTCGCAAACCAGGGGTATATTCGTCAAATATGATCAGACTAAAAAGGGTCCAACTTTTGACAAATATATTCCTTTATGAATTGATGATAACATTGTGTAGGAAGTGCAGAGTCCATCTACTTGATGCCATTGTTTTGTTTACAGTTGGATGACCTCTTGGACCAAAGAAATACCAAATTAGACGCTGTTATTGAATTTGGTATTGAAGACGAATTGCTTTTCAAGAGAATAACTGGACGTTTGATCCATTCTCCTAGCGGCCGATCTTACCATGAGATATTCTCTCCTCCAAAGAAGCCTATGACTGACGATTTGACGGGCGAGCCTTTGATAAGGAGGTCCGATGATAACGTGGAGGCTCTCAGGAAGCGTTTGAATACATATCATCAACAAACCAAACCTTTGGTTGATTATTATCAGATCAGAGGGATACATCACCGTGTCGATGCTGCCAAATCTGCTTCAGAGGTGTTCAAAAATATCGATTCAATATTCTTGAGATGCCAAGACAAGGCGTCTCAACGCCTTTGAGTGTTTTTATCCTTTATACATTAGTGTTTGATTCGAATTAGCGTTTCTGTTATATCATTCCAAAATAAAGTTATTTATTTTATACATCACCTTTTTTCAATTCCATCACCTAATCCTAAAAAAAAAAAATAAATCGGTAGTGCAAGAATCAGGGCCTATAAGGAGGTTTTTGGGTCCTGATAAGTCAAATTTTGAGTTGATCGCATCTGTGAACGTAGAAGAAACAGAGACAACTTACAGAAAAAACATTACAAAGATCATACGCATTCTTAGCTCCAAGATTTTATAATTTACCACCACCAGAAATAAAGAAGAACAAGAATATAAATAGATTCAAAACTGACGTAAAGAAATGGATATTGTATATACTAAGTGATATAAAAATCCGAACACCCAGTTTAAATGGTTTTATTTTAATAAAATTTTGTATAAGTACTTAATGAAGCATAATAAGTAAATGATAAAAATTTCAAAATGATTCCACTGCTTTAAAGCCCTTTGACCTTTAATAATGTGTGGATGCACCCTGATGTGCTACGCATTCTCCAACGCGCCTAGGCATGCTCCTGATCAGGTGGTCAATGTCCTCCTGTGGTATCTCATTCCAGGCAACCACCAACTCCTCTCGAAGTGCTTCTAGAGTCTGAGGAGGACGTTGCAAATTGAGCAATCGCCTACCCATCATATCTCACACGTGCTCAATTGGGGATAAGTCGGGAGATCTTGGTGGCCATGGCAACAATGTGACATCATTATGTTGAAAGAAGTCTATTGTGTTTCTTGCAACATGTGGTCGGGCATTATCTTGTTGGAAAGTTGGATCTGCCAAGGTGTCAAGATAGGGTAAAAGATGGGGTTCTAGAACTTCGTGGATATAACGCTGCGCGTTCATGTTACCTCTGATGAAGATTAAAGGTGTGATGAACATGTCTTTCAACAAAAAACTGTGGATTCCTTCTTTCACCACGTCGCCTTCTAACCCTGGCACGACCATCGTGCATGCCTAAACAAAATCGAGACTCGTTACTAAAGACAATACTGTTCCATTCCTGATCCCAGAGTGACCGTTGTCTGCACCACTCAAGGCGATTACGATTATTTTTCGCTAATCCTGTTCTTAAGGCTATCAGAAATTATTTATTTATCAATATGATATGTCTAAAAGAGTTATATTTACCAATAAAAAAGATCTGATTTTAGCGCAGGTTCAGCATTTCGATCGATACCGTTACCAATAATGACTGGACTATGACAGAATACGACGACCACCAACAAGCAATAAATTTCATTCAACTTCAAGTAAGATTCAGAGTCAGCCTACTTGATACCGTTCGTAAGACCGAATTTCAGTTTTCCGTTTTATAGTTACCCTTAATTAATTGATATGTAGTTAATCTAATTGAAACAGAGTATTTTACAAAGGAAGAATATCACAATACGATTTATCCATATTTTTGCAATCATATTTATGTAACAGTAGAAGGTACCTTTGATAACACATATATTAATAATTAAAACAAACGAAATTGCCCTTGCTAATACAAACAGGTCTGGAAGAATTCTTAGAACTGAGTTCCCTCGCTGCCCAACTTCAAATCCTAGAAAAGCGTCTGTCGTCTGGTATGCAATGTTGCAATTGTTTTTAACAGTCTTTGCGGGCCTTTTACACGGGCTTTTCGGGAGCGTTGTTTTCAGTGTTTTCAAAGGGAAAATTCGGTCGCACCCGGAAAAGTGTATTCGTGGCATGTAGATTAAGTGTTAGTGAGTGTTGGTACGAGAAGAATGAAGGAGAACTTCGCATCTGCGATACAGAGATGGCGGAAAATGGTAAATCCTAATCTATTTTAATTTTACTTATTTTTACAGGCTGCGCTATTTTTTTTCTGAAATTTGCTTATAGTGTGTAGTGTGCACAGTATGTGCAAAGTAAAAAAGCGTAAGAGTTAAAAAACGAAAAACAATTTATTGATGAAAACATGTGGTTTTGTGAAAAAATATCCCTATAGGATAGATAAAGGTATCGTTTCAATAATAAGTCGCCTATTATTTAGTAGAGCAAGACCTTCAATTGTTTGTCATGGATAACTAGAATAATAGGACTTAGTGCATATGTATACTAAGTGACATATAAATCCGAACACCCCTAGTTTAAATGGTTTTATTTTAATAAAAGTTGGTGAATGTATTTATCTTACTGTAAATAACAAGTGAAAAAATTTTCAGCCTTATCAGTTGGACATTCCGGTTTTTATACTGCTTTTTTTTAATTCACTAACGCTCTAAAAATGAATATTTCAGCCGCAGTAAAGAATCAACGTTGGCGGATTTTGGTTCTTGACATATTTTACGATCGGTTACGATGCCTATAGTACGGAGACCTGTACGATTTCGTCAACTGAGTGAGTTTGATAGGGGCCGTATAGTGGGACTTCGGGAAGCTGGACTTTCTTTTCGGGCAATTGCAGTTAGAGTGCAAAGAAGTGTAGACACTGTGGTTAGGTGTTGTCAGGCATGGCTTCGAGAAGGCCTTACGCAAAGAGCAAGGGGCACTGGACGCCGCCGTAGAACAACAGACCGTGAAGATCGCCGCCTACGATTATTGGCCTTAAGGGACCGTTTCTCCACTACCAGGTCCATTGCAAATGAATGGTTTGCAGAACACGGAAGACCTATTGGCATGCGAAGTGTTTACCGACGAATGAGAAGTTTTGGCTTGTTTTCATACCGGTCACACTGGGTCCTCCCTTTAACTCGAGAACCCCGACGTAATCGCCTTGAGTGGTGCAGACAATGGTCACTCTGGGATCAGGAATGGAACTGTATTGTCTTTACTGACGAGTCTCGATTTTGTTTAGGCATGCACGATGGTCGTGCCAGGGTTAGAAGGCGACGTGGTGAAAAGAGGAATCCACAGTTTTTTGTTAAAAGACATGTTCATCACACTGTTGGAGTTATGGTTTGGGGTGCTATAGCTTATGGTTCCAGGTCACCTTTAACCTTCATCAGAGGTAACATGAACGCGCAGCGCTATATCCACGAAGTTCTAGAACCCCATCTTTTACCCTATCTTGACACCCTGGCAGATCCAACTTTCCAACAAGATAATGCCCGACCACATGTTGCAAGAGTCACAATAGACTTCTTTCAACATAATGATGTCTCATTGTTACCATGGCCACCAAGATCTCCCGACTTATCCCCAATTGAGCACGTGTGGGATATGATGGGTAGGCGATTGCTCAATTTGCAACGTCCTCTACAGACTCTAGAAGCACTTCGAGAGGAGTTGGTGGTTGCCTGGAATGAGATACCACAGGAGGACATTGACAACCTGATCAGAAGCATGCCTAGGCGCGTTGGAGAATGCGTAGCACATCAGGGTGCATCTACACATTATTAAAGGTTAAAGGGCTTTAAAGCAGTGCAATCATTTTGAAATTTTTATCATTTACTTATTATGCTTCATTAAGTACTTATACAAAATTTTATTAAAATAAAACCATTTAAACTGGGTGTTCGGATTTATATGTCACTTAGTATATATCGAATGCAGCGTATTATTTGTTATTAGGTATGATCATGTCTTACGATTATTCAGCAAAATAGTCAAAATGAAATAAGAGTGTGTAGTGTCAAATTATGCATAAGAAATGGCCGACGAGCCACCTCCTTTCTATTTGAAAAAATCATGTAAACTGAAAAAAATGTTGTCTGTAACATTTAGAAAATCTCCAAAACGACTGTAAGGTAGTTCGCCTCCAAATCGTATTTCTCCCGTGTTACTTGATCAAAAATGAAGCGATTTACAGGATCCATGGCGTTCTAGATCGAAAAATAGAAATTGAAATAAACATGACTTTATTTGTCAAATATTGACAAGTGAGGCGTTGTTGAGTTCAGAATGTCATTCTCGATCGAAACCAGTAGAAATATATAAGGTGTCCTATTTAAAAATCGAAAGTTGGAGTCGTTTCCGGTCAAACCGGAAGTACCTCAAAGCAAGAGAGTATGTCAAAAAATGTAAATTCATCTATACATAGTACGCAACTCCCAAATTTCGTTTTCCAATCTTCAATAATGAAAAAGATATACGAGGGATGTCTTTTAAGTTTTGCATATAGAAACATAGTAGGCCGCGCGGATCGAACGTCAGTACTGAATCTTAACCTCACTCTTTAGTTAACTCAAATTCAAAGCTTCACAACAATACGTGCAGTGTTCTCACTACAGTGTCACCAAGTCATTAGAAAAATGGAACTCAACCGAGAACATTTTCGCGCCATAATTTATTACAACTTTCAGAGACAATTATCGCAACAAGAATGCCTTGCTGAGTTACTGTCTGTTTTCGGCAACGAAGCGCCACATCAGTCGACAATTTCCCGTTGGTATGGACGGGAGAGTCTTAGCGACGATCCCAGGGTGGATGCACAAAAAACGGCAGTCGCCCAGTAAAACGTCGATGCTGTGCGCAAACTCATCATTGAAGATAGACATGTGACATATCGCGAGATTGAGGCGTCCTTGAAGATCTCAAAGACCTCAATTCAAAAAATTTTACATGAAGAATTTGTAGTAAGAAAATTATTTTCTCGTTGGATACCCCACCTGATGACTGAAGAGCAGAAAGCAATTGGTGTCAAAAAACGCTAACCGTTTCAATTCCGGAAACTCAAAAAATGTGTACAGCATTGTTAGTAGTGATGAATCGTGGATTTACTGTTATGAACCAGAAAATAAACGACAGTCGGCTGTTTGGGTGTTCTAAGGTGAAGAAAAGCCAACAAAAGTCATCCGTTCTCGAAGTGTTTCGAAAAAGATGGTCGCGACATTTGTGTCAAAAGCGGGTCATATTGCAACAATTCCTCCTAATGAGCATATAACTGTTACTGCGGATTGGTATACCACCATTTGTTTGCCAAAAGTCATCACCGAGCTTCGAAAAATCAACCCCGAAAGAAGAATCATCCTCCAACAAGACAATGCAAGCTCGCACACAGCCCAAAAAACAAGGCAGTATTTAACGGAAGAAAACGTGGAATTATTGGACCATCCTCCATATAGTCCCGATCTAAGTCCTAACGAT